ACCCAGTAAATAATGCAAAAGCAATCACAAAAACAGACTTGCACACTAGTGTTTGCCACAACGCCTAGACTGGGAGTATCTATTTTTCTCTGGCTTACTCTTTGAGAAAAAAACACGTTACAATTTATCTTTTCTAGAGGTTAAAGGCAACTGAAACCTTTGACAACCTACAAGCTGGTTAAGGAAGCTTATTTTTTCAAAAGGAAACAGTGTTCCTTCCTATACAGTCTTACATCCAAACACAAGACATTACAGACATCCAGAGTGATGTGTGTCTCTGTGCACCTCATGTCTTACCAACCAGTATCAACAAGCACAACAAAAACAAAGGATGGGAGACACTAGAGCAGGGAGTATCTATCATGTCAAAAGCACAAGACGGCTGCACTCATTGCAAAACAGCTTAAATTAGGTTCTGCCCAGCACACTGCACTATGTGGAGCTGCAGACAAATAAACTGTCTGGTACATATAACATACACCAAGCTTCGGGCTCTATATTTATGCACCCCTACAGTGAATTGGGATGCTCAGCCCTCCATGTCACCATACAGATCTCCTGTAATGCAAAACAGGTGCATCTTTTGTCTGACTCAGTGAGTCTGACACCAGCTGAGAGGAGGGAGCTGTGAATGAAATTAAAAAGATTAAAAAAAACACTATTTTGGCTGACTGTTGTTCTCATTATTTTAATCCTGGGAACAGAGTTCACTTTTGGGTCATTACAGCGTGTTAAACCTATTCACTATGGTATTAGAGACCCCCCCCCCCCTCACACACACACACACACTCATTCGGAGATTAAAAGTGGCGCATGTGATACCATAAAACATAAACAAAGGCGCGACATGACAGTCTGTCTCAGTAGTACTAGAGTACATTTTGCAGGAAAACTAAATTAATGTCATAGCAAAATGGGGATGATTTTGGCTCTGCCTGCACAGCTCCTTACCTTGCTTGAGGCACTTTTCTCTTGAAGCTGAAAGTATAATCTTTCAATCCATTGATGCTCTTCTTTTAGACTCGTCTCACAGACCAAATTTACCCGATCATTCCTATCTCTTCAAGGAGACGTTAGATTAAAAACACGACTAAAAATAAAAAGAAGAAAGTGTTGGATAAAACGCAGGTGGTCTCATTTTTTCTTCTCAGTCCGTGCGTGGATCAAAATAAAATAAAATTAATCATCGGCATCCATGGTTATTGGACTTCCTGGGGAAAAAAAACACTTCAATAAAATCCATAAACCCAGGCCACCTTCATAAGTCCGACATCAGCCCATTTAAAGTCCATTTAAACTTTCCACGCCTTGGATTTTCTGGAAGTAGCTTCAATCATGAGTGAGAGTTTATAATTAACATCACAGATGTATAGAAATGGCTCTCGGTCGACGCTCTGCACATTTATCATCAAACAAGTGCAAGTTTCATCAGAAAGAGAGCACACACTGCACGTTTAGTTACAGCCCTGCTGTTGATACTCTCTGTGTCTCCCCTCCCATTATCATCAGTCCCTCCTCCTACTACAGGCGCTACTTGAACAAGTCACACACAGTACAACCACCACACTTCCTGTTTTACCTTTCAGAATAAAGCCCCTGGTGAGGAACAAAACGGTTGCAAGAAGAAATTAATTAAATTAACGCTAAAACATTAGGTAGTTACGCAATTTGTAGAGCAATTGAGTAATTAATTGAAGTTGAATTTAATTTCAGCCATTTATAAAGAGTAATTGCAAATATTTTTGCTCTTTAGCTTATCAAATGTGACAAATAGCAGTGGGTTTCTTTATATCAGTGTACATTAAACGTTTATTTACATTTTGATGGTTGAGTTGGACAATACAATCAATTTCAAGATGTCACATTGGGCTCTGGGAAATTATGGTGGGCATTTTCATTGTTTTCCACAACATAAATCACTGATAACTGCAAAAGTAATCAAAAAATTAACCAATGAAGGCCTTTATTAATGGAAGGCAATTACAAAAGTCACAGGTGTATAACTAGAATCAATGGTGGCTGAATTACATCTAGCTGCATCAGGTTTAGGGTGCTGGTTGTTACACCTGCCAAAGCCTGCTGGCTCACTGTCACGGGATGAGTAACTAGGACCCTTGACCAGTATGGAGCCATCATTAATGCCAATACCAGCTTCAGTCTAAAATGAAAATTGCTGTGCTTTCCATACTTACTCTTCACATTTTTTAATCTGGGGCCATGTGGGCTTTGTCACTCAGCACTGGATACAATGTAAAATGCTGCCAAAAACAAGACCAAACCTTGAAATTCTAAAAAACAAATCACTTTTTTTTGTAAAGGCTGCAAAATAGTGTACTGAGTTCATTTGTAGTCAGAGCATACAGCCTGGGTAAACGCAACACACAAAACGCTTTTATGTTGAAGTTAAAATAATCCACTTCCGTTAGTTGCCACCTGTCATTGTGTGCATTGATGCTGCTGGTACTTAAGCGCCTCAGACAAAAGCGCCTTTTCGTGGGAAAGACTTGCTTCCTCTAACAAAAGGCAAACACACACCTAAAGGACAAATTTAACTCAGACCCGTTTGGTACAGCATCCAGCATATATATAAAAATACATGTTGTTTAGAGATATCTTAAAGCCTCCAGCGAAGAAAATATTTCTTCAGTATGTGAAATGAAAAACGGGCGTTAAATATTAAAAATGTTTCAAATACAAGATTCATGAGTTAATGTCAGGTTTTACCCACTACCAACACCAAATCATTACAGTCCTGCAATGACTAACATTAGTGAGGATAACGTTAATTAATACAAAAAGCTAACGCTAGTAAGCTATAACTTAAGTTAGCCTTAATTGTTACTCTTCCGTAATATTCAGACCATCATTCCCTACGTGGGTATAAGATGCCTTCTTCACAATTAAGTCTAATATTTGACTAATAACATTATTCTAAAAACCTGAATGCCAGTGAAATATGTATGTTCAGGGAAAAGCTCATTTTTGTAACATTCTTTTTTTTTTTAGCTAGCATAACGTTACTTCACCCGCCGTTACAAACTGCAACTCCGTGCCGTTCAAATTTTTAGCTAAGCTAACGCTATGGCTGGCTAGCTAGCTTTCCGTTAGCTAACAGCTCGAGCTAGCAAGAACCGCCTTTTATTGTCTGCATGAGTCTTACATTAGCTAACGGTTAATTATATTAACTAATTATTTATTAAATATATTATAATTATATTATTATCATTATACAAAGATGTAAAGCTGTTAGTAAGTAAGGAGGAGTAACTTTAGTCCCTAACTTGCCCACTGTTTCTTGACTCTTCTGTCAAAACTATTTCTGCTTTCTTTTTACCGTAATGCTGTCAGAGATAAGAGTAAGATAAAGTGCTTGTCATCTTTTATTCAGTCTAATTTGAATGACATTTAATATAGTTGTAATGATGGGCCCCCCTTTTAAAAAGAGAGAGATAAAGTGGGGAGTTGTATAAATAAACTATCAATATTGTCATAATCTTACCTCAAAATTATATTTCCTTAAATGAGCTGGATGATACTCACATTTACTTTGATATGAGCTGATGGAGCTGTGGTCGGTTGGGTCACTGGGGCTCTGTCTTGTTTACCCCCCAGTTTAAAATAGCCAATCCAGTGCCACACAGACTGTACCACCACAAGGGGGAGACACTGTCCATCACTAATAAACCACTTGTGTATTCGTGCAGGGTGACAGACACACAGAAAATATAATATACCGGTAGCTTGGGTATGGTTTCACACTGTAAACTTTAATTACAAGTTTACAGGGATTTTGCCTTGATAACTTGTTGTGATATGACAAAGTTATAAAGTAATGTGATCTCCACTGTGGACACACACTGTTAAATTACTATAAAATTCGTACAATATAACACTCTACTACACTTTATATAATAAATAAATAAAAGGTTTTTAGAGAGCAGCAGATATTATTAACATATAGAAAATATGAGATTGTTCAATGGTAAATTGTTCAATCTCTGTATTCAGTAAGTGATGTTTTGTATGTGTGTGGGAGTGCTTCCTGACAAAGTAGGAAGCATTCAGACAAAAAGGTTCCTGAACTCATATACAGTCTTTTATCTGGTCTGACTAATGCCAGGTAGTTTGTGGTTGGACACATTTGTTAGAAACAAACTGTCCTTGAAAATATCAACTAAAAACAGCTGGTTGCCAGGCATCCGAAAGGATTACACAAGTGCAACCTTTGCTGACAATGTGCTTTACATGTGACATTATACTGCAAAGGAAATGGAGGTGGTAGCCTTGCCTTTCACTAGCACACTTTCCAATTATGATGAAACTGATGAGTTAGATTAGAGGAGGAAAGGTTTTAGGCGCAGGTTAATAAAATGTCAGTTCTTAATAGCTTGTGTACTTCCTGTTTGACAAGTGTTTACTCTCACAGGCCAGGTGCACCATATGGAGATCAAAGGATTGGCATTAATCACATGAAATCCTCCATGAAAGACCAACTCTGAGCAGTGAGGAAGAATTAACTGGAGGGTAAGGCAAACTTTGGTGTACAGTATAATGATCCTATTGTGGACAAACCAATACTAGCCTTTTATTAAATATCTATTATATGCTAGACAAGAAACATAATATGTTGTATGATGCAGGTTTATCACTTAGTCTGGTGTGTATAGCCTGAAACATTTTTACCTTAATCTTACTGTAAATGAATTCATTGCAAGCCGGTTTATATGAGTTTTCTCTACCATTAAACAGACATGTGGATCAACCCAAATTAGAGATTCCACTGAATAGAATTTTGGTTTCATTTGGCATGAAAATAATCTGACTTTAAGAGTTGGCTTGACTTTAAAAAGTGTGTAAAATTCTCATGTGTTTCAGTGTGTTAGAACCACATTGGTTAGATCCCTCTTTATTTTAAGCTAAAATGTGACCAACTCAGTGTGAAGTTTTTCCACAAATGATCTTAATGATATAAATATCAATATGCAAATAAAAGACACTTATCAAATTACAGTTTTATTAATTTGTCAAGCTAACAAAACATATACAAAGTCTGGTACTGATTTGGCTTCATAACAGCAGGCTGGCAACTACATAGGAATGCTACCCCATGACAATAACAGCAAAATCATTCAGATTTAGAGTAAGGTGATTTATAGACTCTATTTTCTTATAAGATATCAGTGCATTTAAATTATTACAAGCAAAATATTTGGAGTACATGTGAGTACAGGAAGACAGTGGCTGTAGCTGTGGTGTATGTCAGTCATCAAAGTCTGGGATGTCATCATAGGAGTAACCACGGTAGCCCTTTGATGCATAGTAAGCTATTCGTAGGTGGTAGATTCCCGGCAGGAAGACAAGGATCCCAATGATGAGAACAGGAATGGTTCGGTCTGAGTGCTGACAAAGGGGAAAAAAAACATTCATTTTAACAGAGGTAAATATATTGTTTATATTGTAACCTCTGTGCATATACAAGTACTCACAGGGACTCCAAAGTATCCAGCCAGAAGGAGGGAGCCGATGATGATTAACAGAGAGCCGATTAAGAAGAGGACTGCAGCTAGTGCTATGGCTTTGTATGGGACTTTGGGTGGGCTCTTTTTGAACTGCAGAGGAGGAGAAATATTTAATTAAAAACACTGTTCTCAGACACAGCAGGCTCTCTGTGGCAATGCCTGTTTTCCCACTCATGTACTGGACTGGACAGGCAAAATGAGTCTGGCTCATAATGTACCTGAACTTCTTGGGAAAGTTAAAGGTTGTGACTTGTTGACAGATACTTTATATTAAAGCAAGCTGATTATATGTGCCATCAAACAGTCATGCTATATTATGCATTTAAAGATGTCAATGTGTTGGTTATGCATTGCAATCCTTGTGACTAAATACTGCCATGAACATTCAACAACCATCATGACAAAGTCCATTGATTTGACGGGGGTAACCACCAATATTACACACAAACACTAATTTTCAATCATGGGTAAAGGTGTAGATTTCAAGGGGACATGCCCCCTTCAATATGTAGAACATGTACATATGTCACCACCACAACAAAAACATGACCTTTATTTTGACATTTACACCATTAATTGAGGCAGGAAAGACACAAATTGGTGCATAAAAATTCCCAAGAATGAAGGACATGAAGTGTTTAATGCTCAACTCCCATGTTTTATATGATTGTTGAACTTAGTCATAAAGACCAAACCCATTTTTTACTAGGCTGTAAACATGTTTATTTCTGATGTAAAATTGGGCATTTTGAAATGGGAGTCTAAGGGGATTTACTCCATTTTGGAGCCAGCCTTGTGCAGCTATTCAATGGACTGAAGTTTTTGACACTTCCCCACTGGCTTCATTTTTCAGCCAGTGTGTGTTTGGGAGGCACTAAGCATATGCCTGGATGAACAAGACTTCAGTTATACTGTACAAGTTGTGTAAGTGCTTGTGAACAGATGTTTAGATATAGTTTTGCTGATGTTAAACATCAAATCAATCAATAAATCAATATGTTCACAATTCAGAGGTATGCAAGGAAAACAGTTTTCTTCACAAATCAAGGCCACAAAGCACAACACATTGATATACAAATGGTCATTATGTGGGTGAAGTATTCCTTTAAAACAGGGGTGTCAAACATACGCCCCGGGACAAAGGGTCCAATCAGGCCCACTGAATGGCTTTGCACATCTAATAGTGATGCACTTGTGAGGGCTAAGAGGTGTCAGGTTTCAGGAGCAAGTTGAACAGTGAGTAGCTTTCTTCCTGTAAAATGCTGCCTCAGAGGGTTTTCCACCCTGATCAGAATACAGTTCTCGGAAAGAGCAATGCATACTTAAAGTGGTCATTTTTTAAAGATATTGAATGTTATGCAAAATATTGTCAGTCAGCAGCTGACTGGATGTACAAAAGAATCTGCAGACTTATATCTTAAAACATTATTGGTGGAGCCCTGTTGTTAGGACAATGCCAATACTTCAGATTTGTTAATGGTTTTGATAACTCAACAGCTTCCACTTTAGTTGGGTGTGGTGATGCCAGGATTACTACACAGGAGTGGAAATGTATAGAAAAATGCACATGTAATGACAGTGAGTAGTGGACTGACTGAATGTGGAAAAACTGAGGCATTGCTCTTACTCTTCTGAAGGCATCACAGGTTGTTTGTCATCTGTTTTGTAGATTGATGAGTGTTTTTAAAATATACTTCTGTATATTAAGAAAAGGGGCAACATTTGGAAATGGTTTGCACTATATGTGGCCCATGAACTAAAATGACACCTCTGCTTTAAACTCTCTTCCTTCAGTGTTATGGACGTGCAACAATAAATCACTGCAGTGCCCCCTTTAAGTTCATTATAGTGTGCTCTAATCCTGTGAAGTCCAGAGTCTAAGAGTGGATGACCTATGACCTTTAGTCTATAACCACAAGGGCAACCATGTTTGCTAAAAACTTAAATATATTATTACAATTGCAAGATATATATTCTATTATAACGCCTGAGAAGCACTGCTTTAGTTTGCTACACTTTGAACAAATCAAAATAGGTCTTACCTGTAAATCAATGTAGCCATCATCATCAGTGGCCAACCTGGAGTACTTTACTTTACTGTTGGGGATCCCGTTGGACACAATGTTACGAGCAGGCATCTTCTTCAGCTGCTAACGGTTTGTTTTCAGTGTTTCAATGAGGCAGCTACAGGAGCGATATCAACACCGTCATCACTCACAAGCTGATAGTGCCAGAGTCAAGTCAAACACTACACCAAATCCGAGATATGATCGTTATTAGCTCCTCAAACTAGTTATAAGAAGAGATTACAGCGGGGTGCTGTCTGTTTATTATCTTCCTGCATGGGTCTTCCGTGTTTACGACTCGGTCTGCAGTGCGCATGTGCGACCCGAAGCGTCATATGGACACCGTAGAAAGAAAACATAAATAAAAATTAAGTGTCATGAGTGCGACGCAAGCTCAAAATCGCTTTAAAGGGGATTACATAAAGTCCGAGTTGTCAGATTTATTTTATTCCGACGAATTGTTTTACTGGTTGTTATTTGCATCTCTCTGTGTTCTCCACAAGAGGTCGCCGTCGAGTCTTATTGCAATGACCAGGTCACAGTGAGCAGCCATCTGACACTTGAGTGTCAAGATTCATCTCTCTGTGTGGATGTTCATTTCCTGAGGTGTTCTCCCGGGCCAGCTTTATAATCACACTGTGTTCTCTGACGATAAGGTTTCTGTCTAGGCTGCAGATTTTTGATGCAGTCCTCACGGGAAGGTTGTTTTTAGCCAGGGATGAAATCTTTTATCTCACAAACAAAAATCTATTTCCCATAATCACGTGGGGATTTTTATAAAACAGATAATATGAGCATTTGCAGAGCCATCTGAATTAAAACCACATATGATTACTTTTTTTTTTTTTTTTTTAAAAACCAACATACTACATAAACCACTTTTCTCCAATAATGACACATTAATGAACATATTTGATTTCCATTATCTATCAAATTCATAATTCAATATTATTAATTGCTATATTTAGTTGTTCTATATTTTGAATGGGAACATGTGATCTCTCAGATATCAAATCTGGGAGGAGCACGTTTAATCTTTTGTGTATACCATGTTGTCTCTGCCAGATGTTGTCATGTCTCTAGTCATGCACAGCTGTAGCCTGGCTTGTGAATGGCCGACCATGAAATAGACAAAATACACCAAAAACCAACATTTGCTGACAACTCCCCTGAAATTAATAATTAAAGCTGCTGTGCTAGGTATACCGTCTTTTTTTTCACATTGTATTTTTCACATTCCCCTGCTGGTCTGTGGAAAATTGGACTGTCACATAGACAAATATAGACTCTCCTGCAGGCAGAATTCAGATAGATCCTGGCCCTGAAGCTATGCAGCAGTGGATCATTGTGATTCTAGTTTTCTGGCAGAGCCGTGCATGGTACAGTCAAGGATAAATGCCTGCAGGTAGTGAATAATCCAGAAATACATTGCTCTGTTGAAGAGCAGTAATAATAAAGTAAATGCATATTGTTACTAGATGTGCTGGCAGCATCAATAATGTTGCCTTTAAAGTACATGTTGGAGGAGAGAGAGTCTCAAGTGATGATTAGTACGCTTAGCGACCTTGAGTGCAAGTCACATTGTTGTAGTTTGAGGCCATACTGTTGCTCTCTGGAGGCATATAAACCGTCAAATCATTTATCTGTGTTTCATATTCCTGTTGTTTCTCACTGCATGTAATATGAATCACTGTGTATTACACTGCACTCTATGTTCTCTCTTCCTGTTCAATCTATTTACAAATATATCCAAGCCTCTGCAAGACATAATCTCAATAAATCTTCCCAGGGTACAACTGGGTTTCATCTTTGTTTAGAGGGGATTAAACAAATATTTTTTCCCTTTACTGACCACTTTAACATGCAGCAGTATGTTTAACATGCAGTGCACACATTTTGAGTGCATTAATCTCCCACATTATGTCCTTTTCCCCTCTCGTTTCAGAGGACAACCATGATATAAGCCATCTATGCATCCTGAAATAACTGTGCAGACATTTTGTCTGAGAATTGCCTGTCACTGACAATGAAAGAGATAAACTTTGCCCTTTGCTTTATTAGTGATGCCAGTTTTCTTAGTCATATCTTGCCGTGCTGTGTGACTGCTTGTTGGCTGCACTCATTAGCCGACACCAACTCTGCGTCACTGGTGCATACTCCTTTGTATGCCAAAATACTTCCCTCTTATTTGACCCGTCTCCACACTTGGATGTTCAATAGCTACAATGAAGGTCACTGCACAAGCCGCTTACCTTTGCGCAGTCTGAATTTAGAAACATGGCTTTCAATTTATCCTCTCCTCAGCCTTGAAACAATCCACAAGAGTGGATAAAACTGCAATTATTCTACATTCATAAATTCGAAATGAATGGGCTCTGATTCAGACTGAAGTAATGTATCTGTAAGTAATCCTGCTGCCCTTTTTGTTCGTTTCCAGACATTACTTCATGTATTGTCTACTTTGTTCTATTTATTTATTTATTTATTTTGCTGACATACGCTTACGCGTGGGTTTTAGGATTTCAAGGAGATTTTCCTGTATTATTGGTGCAAAGTACTTCCCGATACAAATTCCAATGCTGCTCAAGTGACATCTGGAGTTGTGATTTATTAATTAGATGACAGGCAGGACTGTCACCAGTCAGAGGGGGGCAGAGTGTGCTCCCATGTTAGATAATCTCTGCCACTAGACCATAATGCCTACACAGAGAAGCATCAGCTTAGCACATTGAGCCCTCAGGGTGTGTGTGTGTGTGTGTGTGTGTGTGTGTGTGTGTGTGAGTGTGTGTGTGTGTGTGTGTGCGTGTGTGTGTGTGTGTGTGTTTGCAAGTCTGCGTGGTGAGAAGACAGCAGCAGTTGCCCCCTTATAACCCCTGGGTATGACACTGAACAGTAAGAGAGCAGCATTCAGGCCATAATTAGAGTCCTGTTCAGAGTGGAGTTCTGTCTGCTGAGATAATTAGGTCTGTCTTCATTACAGCAATTGCAGATAACACCACGACTGGAGCCCAATAAAAGGCTGAACCATTATACCACTTGAACATCATGCAATCTCCCCGTGGTATGGCCTTTTTACTTTTAAACCCAGGTTTCAGAAATAATCAGATGTGGCATGTGTGTAGTGCACAGGTGCTACTTAGCAACAAACTTTTCAAAAATTGAAATACGCCCGCACAGACATATGTAATTCCATTATTTTTAGGCTCGTAGAGCCACATGTGGGATAAATAAAGGATTGAGTTAATTTGTGCCTCTGTGTATTTCCTGTTTTTGTTCCCATATGTTGAGCATATGATAAACAGTAATATGTATGTTGGTGGAATGCGGATGCGAATTAGAGATGGGTTGATGATTTATGATTTTTATCTCAAATTATAATTAAAAAAAACAGCAACAACAACAGAATGTGGATTTTTATTATCAGGATAACAGTGAATATCATGTCTAGCAGCACTCAGAGACAAAGCTGGGCTACCAGTATTAAAAGAGATTCATGCTACATACAGACCAACCTCATAAACACAAAAGATCTCAAGATCTCAAGCATAATTAATATCCAAAGATATAATGCCATTTCAAATTATTGAAAGATGGTTTGTTTTTCACTAATAAGAATGTTCAGGGGAAAAAATGCGTGTCCTAAATGTGATGTAATAAAGAATATTTGTTAACAAAATGTAGGGTAAAATTATTCCATTAAAGCCATTCTAAGAGTTTTAAGCATATGTTCAAGATTATCAGGATAATTTTGTGATTTGCAATGATTTTTGGCCAGGATCATTGTGATGTAAAATGTTCATGCCGTCCCATGCCTACAATAGATATGGTAATAACAAGCTGCAGTAGCTTCATGGCCCAATACTTGGTAGTGTCGGTTGCTTGGTCCAACATTTTGGTTCAGATTAAAATATCTTAACAACTATTGACTGAGTGTCATAACATTTTGCATGGCCATCAGAGGATGAATCCTGCTGACTTTGGTGATCCCCTGACTTCTCTTCTAATGCCTCCAGCAGGTCAAATTTTTCACTTATCTACATATCACAACATTTTCAAATGGATTGTCAAAAAGGTGATGGTGTTGGTACAAACATTCATGATTCCCAGATGATGAATCCTAATGACTTCAGTGATCCCTGGACTTCTCCTCTAGCATTTGAGGTTTTAAGTAGTTATCTCAACAACTACATGTTGATTGCCATGAAATTTGGTACATTCATGTTCCCTCTCAGGTTTAACCGTGACAGCTTTGGTTATCCCTGACTTTTTATCTAATGCCTTCATCCAATCAAAGTGTCAATTTGTCCAGTATGTGACATTGTTATACTGTACTGTACAGTTATATCTTGTAACTCTGTCTTTGCTACTGATCAGTCAAGTGTTCTTTTCTCTTTAATCTGTATTTCAGGTTAGCTGTGTTTGTGTGTGGGCGGGGAGCTGACTGCTGCTGCAGGACGCTCTACATGAGGAGCTTCATCAACGATGACGAAGTCTGTCACCTTTATTTCACAATGTCAACTTTTTCCCTTCAGTTAATGAAAAAAAAAGCCCAATCACAGCGGCTCAGTGGCTTTGAGAATATGATTACAACATGACACACGAAATGGCTGTTTCCATTTTGAATTTGCCTTTGAAATGGAAAGCATTTTATATCAGTTTTCTTCTAAAGCTATATACCATTTCACGGTTACACAAACAAACCAGTGCCCTGCAGCATAATGTTAGCTGTTTGAATTTACGTACTCTGGTGATTGAAATCTGTGCCTCTTTTTTTAAGATTTTGTGGAAGTCAGAACCATAGGAGAGGAAATCTCTTGATATGCAATTAAGGTGAATGTCACTGTAAATGCCAACATTAGTTGCGAATGCTCGGCTCAGGTTTGTTGCCTCCATGACAGGAAATGTTTCTTCCAATGCAGAGATATTGATTTCAGTATCTTTCAAACTCAGCAGTCCGCTTCACTGCATGGGCGGCTCAGACAGGTAATTGCTTTTCCAGCAGGTTAGATAGCAAGATAGACCCTAACAAGATGCAAATACACAGCAAACAACGAGCACAGATGAAACATATGAGCATCACATCACCGCTTCATTATGTTTGTAATCTTTAATCAGCATGGGATTGGTTCATTGGCCTGTTTTGTAATACAAACATAATTACACAATAATTGATCTGTTGTTGGAGTAAATACTTATTTTGAAAGTAGTCTGCCTGTGTCAGTGCAACACAGTCATGCATGCACAATAATGAGACAAAATGTTATCATAATTCAAACCTAAATTGCTGCGAAAATTGTCAATTCTCAATTATAAAAACACTCCATGGGTGACATTCACTGTTATAAAAGAAAGAATCATTCATTTTGCAGACAAAATTGAAATGTCCACTTTTGTTGGGCCTTTTGCTGATGTTACTGCACTTTGAGAGAGTTGGTGTGCCTGTGATCTTCTTTTGGACATGACGAAGTAGAGTTGTCTCCAGGTAATAACAGCATGTACAGTAGGAAGACTCAGAGCACTGTACGATCAAAGAGATTGAGCAGAGAAGCTGTACCGTAAACGGTCAAGTGTTCTCGCTGTGAGCCGGCAGCAGCCCCAGGTAATACCTTCATATCTGGACCCAACTGGAAAACAAAGAATGCACCAACCGGCAAATCCGAGGATTTGTTCACAGTGGGAAGAAATGAATCAGTCCAAAAGAAAAAAACAAAAAATCAATGTAGTGTGTCTATTCATGTGTGCATGTGGGTGTGTTAGTGTTCCTGTTTCTGCTTTGTCTCTTCATCATAGCTTAATTGAAAAAAAGCAAAAGAAAATGTAACCATGGTTGTTGAATAATAGAGTCCCTGGTGAAACTGCAATGCCAGATGAATTGCTGTTGACTGTTATGCCTCAGGCATCAATAAATGTGTACTGACTGAGTTGTGCAACAGATAGACAAGAGCCATATATGTTGTGTTTATATGAGCATTAGTTATTACCACTGCTTAAACCCGGAGTACAAGTACAAGGAAAGAAGAGAGAAGGGTAAAGGAATAATGGGGTAACTGTCATTAAGAAAGATGTAGAAATAAATCACACTCATAGAACTATTTAAATGACCTGTTTGATAAAGAGTGCAGTTATATTGTTACTAAATGGAGAAAGGGGATAACACTTACAAAAAAATATTACAATTTGTGGTGACTACTATCGATGAAAAAAGCAGCAAAGAGGCTGAGTTGGCTCGTAATTGTGACCCACACAAAGAAATTCATCAAGTCCAGAGATGTGTTTTATGTTGGTATATTAAACAAACAGCTGGGATAAATAAGGCAAAACAAGATGAAATGAAATATTACATTGCATTATATTACGGTTAACAGAAAAAAATGGAGCCAAGACTCTCACCCTCTTTCTCTAAAAGCTGCCAAACCAGTGAATGAACAGGTATAATAATGTGAAACCATACCACTGTGCCAATTACAACTACCGGAAGTGAAAGTGACCAAAAGTGTGCAGCTTAAACAAATAAGAAACAACAGAGGTTAAATACACATTATGGCTTCTACACTATTATTATTTGTCCTGTTAGAAAACAGAATTATAGGTTAAGCCTAAGAAAAGGGTGCAGCTTAAAGGTAGAGTCTCCCCCAAATCAAGAAATACATATTTTTTCTTCTTACCTGTATTGCTGTTCATCACTCTAGATTGTTTTGATGTGAGCTGCTGAGTGTTGGAGGTATCGACCGTAGAGTTGTCTGCCCTCTCTCCAATATAATGGAACTAGATGGCCCTCAGCTTGTGGTGCTAAAGCACCAAAAGTACATTTGAAAAACTCAGCAGCAATGTCTCTTCCCAGAAATCATGACCTGGTTAATCTACTGAACTACACCCACCAACAATGTAACTACCCTGAAGGAGGAGTGCATCTACTCATGGACGGGAGGCTCATGACACTGGGAGATGTAAACATTAATGGCGTCCTCCTTATACAATGGTTCGGTAGATATCCTATGAATTAGCATGTTACGTTCTCAATGTAAAGTTAATATCAAGTTATGGAGGTTAGGTTTGAGCAACTCAAGTTACTATGGGTTAGGTTCAGGCAAAGAAACATGGTGACAGTTTACTTTTTTATTACTCAAAGACCAACCAAAGTTGTCATGGCTCTTAACACAGGTCTCCTGTGGAAAGTCCTGTATTTTGTGACCCATCCACCACTCTGACCTGACTCTTAACCACTCCTGTAGGGTTTGCTCTTTGCTCCCATCAGCACATTGGTCACATGATTGCAGCCTTCGAAAATATGTGGGTTGTACACAAATTACTGGCTCATTATTACATGGGATATGAACGAATTTTGGTGCCCTACATTTTTTTAGGAAATCTTATGAACAGCGCATGAAAACAGCCTGAGCTGTAAACTTAGCTAGCTCAGTGGTAAGCTGGTAGTGGATGTATGCATCCTCAACACATTCTCACTCCAACCTTGTCACATATTGATGTTTTGGTCATGGACTTTCCATGTCCACACGATGTGCAAGGTACCCCCGGTGTGTTGGTTGTTGACGTTCTGGAACACTGTGCCAAGTTCTCTTCTTTCAAGATACACTTCCGTTTTCACATTTACATAGAGTCCCTTTCATAATAAACGCACTCTCTTATGGGACGTGAACACTGCTCACTTGGGTGAGAGTCGGTGTTTGTTCGACCCATCCACCATCCCTCCCGCCTGCCTCACTCAGACTTTCACTGCCATAACTTTCGTCCTTGTCCTGTTGCGTTTCCTCCTGACACTGCTGGGCGCCGTTACACTATAACACCAACTGGCCATGTATCATGCCGATGTTAAAGGATGCCTTTTTTGTTGGTTTCTGACACCGAAAGTCAAGCATTGGATTTCAGCGACTTTGGAATGAGACCATGGTTGCATCCTTCCGTGTGGTGATACAGTTGACAAGTGTGGTTCGGCATAGACAGTAAGTAGTTCCTACATGAAAATGCTTGAAACAAGGACTCTGGATTATCTTGAATAATCGAGTCATGATTTCTGGAAAGAGACATTGCTGTTGAGTTTTTCAAATGTATTTTATTGGCGCTTTGAGCACCACAGCTGAGTTCCATTTGGTTCCATTATATTTGCGAGAAGGCAGACATCTCTACAGCCGATATCTGCAACATCCGGCAACTCACACCAAAACTATCTAGATGTTTTAATAGCAGGACAGGTAAGAGGAAATATGTATTTTTGATTTTCGGGTGGACTGTCCCTTTAATGACTTTAAAATAGCTATCTGCCAATGTTTTTTAAGAATATAATAAAATTCTGGGAACAGTAGAGAAGAATCTATTGGAACTTTTTAGTCATAAAGAATTAAAGGGCAAAACACGAGTTTCTACAAACTTTGGCAGCATTTTGTCATTTCGGAGTTATTTCAAAGCATGCATGAGTAACTCCAGCTGAGGTAATGGCCATTAAATTTAAGTGATAGTGCGCTACCATCAGGTCAAAGCACTGATAATGGGAGGGAGATCTGCTTAATTACAGAGTCACACATTTGTGCTGTAATCTAACGCGTCCCCGATACGCACACTGACCTGAGCAAACTTTGCTTCAGTTGACACCGTGATTGACACTCGTTAATGAAACATTTGTGAATGAAAAGTCCTCTTGGGTAGACAGTGACTGGTTGCGATGACGCACATGGAGTGATGCTGAAGGGGGGGGGGGCGTGAGATGATGTGAGGATGAGGATGGTTGGTTGGTTGGTTGGTTGGATGATGTTGGTGGTAGAGGGGGCTTACGGGAGGGAAAGTGGTTCGAGGAGAAAGCAGTGAGTCATTTGGTACTCATCATCATTTGAAGAGACTTGGAGCACCTGAAGGTCGGGCGTTTGGACCGGCTGATGTGAGAAGGGCTCTCCATGATGAGCGCACTTGGCGTTCCCGTTCACCGTCTCCGAGTGCGAGTCAGTGATCACAAGCGCGTCCAAATGTAGCTCAGGCGAGTCGTCGGGATGTGAAAATCAAACTCAAAGTTGAGGTGAGTCCCCGAAATTTTGATTTCTTGCATTTAATTGAAGCATTTTGAGTGAATCCAATTATTTCTCCTTTAATTGAAGCGTTTAGTGATTTGCTGTCCGTGCTGGTAATGCTGATGTTGGATAAATCTCATTGTTTCTGACCATATGAGCGGATTTTTGACTTGAAAGAAGTATTTCTAAGAACATAAGGCTTACCTAATCATAAACTGTGCAATAGTATTGATTTAATTTGTATTTTAATTCCATTTTAAGCTATAATTTGTAAAGTAGTTTTTCATCCCTATATCTGTGATTGTCTCTGCAGTCGGGAGTTGCCTGTCTAAAATAATAGGGCTGGGTCGTATCTATAAATTGCTGATTTATGTTATGCCATCTGTTGTTTTTAAATCTGCCTCAATCAATATCTTACAATTAAATCTTAAAGATGATGAGATACTACTCTGTAAATTTCGTGTCAGTGTAGTTTTAAGAGTGTCTATAATGACTGATGACCACCACAGGTGTCTACAAGTCCCTGTCTCTGCCATTTCATTAAGGTGGATGTCACTTTCTGTCAGGTGTCACCTATAGTCCTGCAGTGGTTTCATCTTATAGAGCTGGGAATTACCCAGCACACCAGTGAAGAGGCTGAGATAACACCTGAGCCAGAGTGGCTATTTACTCCTGGCCAATTAAAATAGCTGCAGACACAGAGAGGCTGCATGTCTCCTGCTGTCCTCAAAATTATTGTGGATTCCTGTTCAACCCTCAGCAGTGGCTGCACATCAGCTGCTGCATTGTTGAGCGTCTGCCTGGGAAACAGCCAAGAACAAGAACACAAATTTGTGGCGGAGGAGCATGCTCATAAGATTTTAAAAGCGAAGACAAATTACTACTACATGCCCTGGAGCAAGGCATCTATTGCCTCCGGCTACTCCATCATGGAGCTGCTCATTGGTTTAGTCTCCCCGGTCTTCCATCGGGAAACACCCTCCATAGATGTCTGTTCCTCTGTGAATTTTAAACAGATCAATGCTGGAAAAGAGCCTAAGCAGTGTGCCTTACTTCACTGCTCCTGGATCCACATGAATCCCAGCTGAAACCCTGTACTCCTCAATCTATGTTTTACTGAAATCAACAGGTTTGTTATCGAGACCCTGATGTAATATAAGCTTTAATTAATCAAAAACACAATAGTTTAAATCAAGCATTCAAGTCTAAAGTATATGAGCTGCAAGACTTAATCAAATTAGGTTTGTTAGGGTCAGTGGAAATCTTATCATATGTAATTGGGTCAGCTCTCTTCTAGTTTGAACACAGTTTCTCTCACTTCAATTCTACTTCCATATTCTTTTTTTTCTATTGCAATAAAGTTGCTGAGTATAGCCACAAACATTGTATCTACATTGTATTACATTAGCATCCTCCACCTAAAAACCAACAGAGAAGAGAAGCAATATGTGGGTGCAGTCAATATGACTGAACTTATCCTATACTAACTCCATCAAGCTTATTTTCTCCTGTTGATTGTAACACAGTACGTTTAATATAACAAACAATTTGAATGCAGCAGGGACACCTAATATTTTCAGCTGAGGTAACTTAATCTTTTCTCTCGTGCAAAATGAATACGGTGTAATGAGCTCCTGCGGCTCTCCTGCGCATAAACATGTAACTCTTACTTTCATAATTACATTACAAGGCACTAGCCGTGAGTGGGTGGGAGAAGCTCTCAGGTGCTGCGCTATGACAGCTGCTGAAGACAGGCTTTGCTGCACCATGCCAGCACAGGAAGCAGAGATATAAACGTCCATTAAACATGTTAAACAGGTGTACATGCAGTGAGGAGCAGAGGTTTGTGGGGCACAGAGGAAAAGGTCAGCCAGTGGTTAATAGTGTGCTGAGGAGCAATGAAGGAAGGGAGGGGGGCTTAAGACTTGAGGGGACTGCGTAACGCCCTTACCCTCACTGTCATCTTTGCATGGTCTGTCTTTGTGTGAAGTGTGTTTGACTCCAGCATTGTGAAAGCTGACAGATAGAAAGACAGATAGACAGATAGGAAACACACTCAGAAAAGAGGACAACTCAGATGAACTTTTAATTTAGGCTAGTCTCAAATAAAGCAGCTTAACAAAATCCCGGAATCGTCAACATGGCCTCACTACTTTTACTAGTCCCATCTAATCTATGTTTAGGTAAGGAACATCCACATTACAAATGTCAGTAATCTTCTCAGACAAGATTAATTTCACATCTGTCAAAGTGGAGGACTTCGCGTGGAACCAAGACATTGTTTTAAAGTCAAAGGACAGAACATTCAAAATGAAAATTAAATCAATGCATCAAAGTCAGAGGCAACAATTCAGGACAAAATCAACACTGGTGGAGGAGGGGTGCAGAATGTTATACTTAGAAATTCAACTAAGCAACTGAATTTCTTTTTTTATATAAATAGATACAATGACTTAGTATTCTGGCTTGAAAAAATGTTATTCTTTTTAACAGTAAATGAAATGAGATCATGGGTTGGCCAATTGTAGTATTCTTTCAAAAGCAAAGCAGAAATAACAACAATGTACAACTAGGAATCTCGCTGTTACGGGGAAAATACTGACAAATGTTAAGGAAATAGTACAGTATTTTAGGAAATACGCTTAAAACCTACTCGCTTTTCCTGTGTGAGCTGGATGAGAAGATCAATACCATTCTCACGTCTGTGCCATAAATGTGGAGCTAGAGCTTGGAGACAATCAGCTTAACTTAGCCCAGAGCCAGGGTCTGTCCAAAAGAAAACAAAAATGTGCCTACCAGCACCTCCAAAGCCCACTAATGAACATGTTATGTCTGGTTTGATTAATTTGCACAAAAACCAAGAGCCAGCAGACAATTAGCTTAGCATAAAGGCTGAAGCAGAGGGAAACAGCAAGCATGGCTCTGTCCAAGGGAAAAATAAAATCTCCTTACCGGCTTACTTTTGAAGCTCCCAAATTAAAGGTCCAGTATGTAGAATTTAAGGGCATCTATTGGCAGAAATTGTATATAATATTCATAACAATATTGTTTATAATCCCCTGAAAATAAAACGTGTGTTGTGTTTTCGTTACCTTAAAATGAGCTGTTATATACAGTCGGAGCAGGACCTCTTCTACGGAGTTTGCCATGTTGTTCTACAGTATCCCTGAACGGAAACCAAACACTGGCTCTAGATAGGGGCATTCGCCTTTTTGCCTTTTCATAGTTCTCCTACAGGCCATCTACAATCTTAGTGCCTGATGCCACTTAATCCTGCACACTGGGTCTTTAACATGTTACACATTGTTTGTTTAATATTTATATTTTGGGGGGAGTAACCATGGATATATAAAGAGAACTGGATACAGCACTGGAGGCGGGGCCCAATGGTAACATGTGACGGACCCAGAGATTGTAATTATAAGCCTTCATGTTAAATATACGGTTTAGCCACAGTGTCAAATTGGCTTTAAAGACCAGCTCTGTTCCTGGTATGGATGTATAAAGAGACCTGGATGTAGCGTTGCCGGCAGATCTCCATTTATTCCTATGAAAATTGCTCAGTGGTTCATGAAGCCAAAACAGCTTAGTTTACACCATATAAAATTGCCCACACCTGGATTACCCGGAGACTTACAGCGGTCTCGGCTTAGTGTCAAACTCATGGTTTAGCCCTCGCTAGTTCCAGTGGGCAGCAAATGATTTAATCGTGCAGCTCTTCTAGATTTTCCGAATGTTATTGGACCAAATGGATCAAATCCCAATATTGAAATGATTCATTTCACAGGGGGTGACGCTGAAAAAAATTATTCACTGATACACAGACATATTTTTCATAGTGTCAGTCTATGGTAACAAATCTGTCATATGACGGCCCTGGACTAGTATAATTCCACTTTTGGCCATTATGTAAAAATGGCTTCAAAGCTTGGCGCTCTTCCCGGGGTCTTGAGAGCTGCATGCTGGAGCTATTTCTAGACTTCCTGGAGGTGCTGGTAGGCAGATTTTGTTATGTTTGGACAGAGCCAGGCTAGCTGTTTCCTGCACATTTATGCTAATCTAAGATAACTAGCTGCTGGCTGAAGCTTAATATTAATAACTATATTTCCCAAAATGTCAGACTAGGCTCACCTGAATGAATACACATATATAAATCAATGTCAGACTGTCACACTGTGTATTGTTTTGACCTCTATCTGCATGGAGGTGACGGTGTGATATTGATTAATTTAGAGGAGGGATTAAGAGCTTAAGGTCAGGCTTATCTTGATACAGGGCAGTTGAAGATCATATTAGCATCATGAATGGCAATATAATACACATTAGGTTTGTGACTGAGGCTGTTGCATTGTTGACTCTACAGCTATTCTGGTGTGGCTCATTGCCATCTAGAGTTTTAACTGTGTGATGTTTCCCAGGTGACTCAGTGTGAAAGGCAACTGGTCAGTCCTGATATCGGTTTCTTTATTCCTCAACCTCACATTGTGTTTAGTCAATAAGCACAAGATGAGGCTATGGTCACATTGATCCGACAGCAACCATGGCTCAGACATCGCTCTCGCCTTCAGACTTGATAGATGAGAGACATGAGAGCTGCAAAAAAGAAACAATAGACAAAACAAGGATGAATGCTTTTGAATTTTTCTGTATGTGATGGGTGTTTCAATTCTCTCAAAGCAGATTCTTCTGTCTTTCTTTTCAAAGGCGCTGGATACTGTTGCTGTATCCTGTGATTGTGTTGAAGCTGAATCTGACCCTGGGTTCAACAGGAAGAGCCTGGATGTTGCCTGCTGCTCACCTACCATCTCACCCAGAAAAGTGGTTTTTCACACCAATTTTTTAGGAACACGTACTTGAATTTTTCCCCCCAAAACTGCAGTTTTTGGTTCACAGCACATACAAAGATTTGTCTGTGTATCCCATCTGTAATGCTTCCTAACAGTGTTTTTGTACCAGCTGCACAATCACAGTTTTAACATGACTAACATTTCCAAGATGGATTACCTGATTACAGCACAGTAGATTTTTGTCTGCATATATTACACCTCTCCCCCAGTGTTTTTGCATGCATCCTGTAGTTTTATTTTTCTTGATGCATCGCCAGCATAATGGCTCATTTGCCAGAGGCATCATCATTCAAATGATGTTGTGACAAGACGGACTTAATGTGATCATTACTCTAATGGCTTTTATGAGAATGCCCTGATGTCCCTTTTCTCCTGTAGTGAAACAAAATAAAATAGGTGTGTGTTACAGTCCACCTTTGCTGCGCAGGACAGTGTCGATTACAGCTTAGTGTTGGAACAGATGGTTCCTGTGCTGAACAATATGACCCCAGCTCCTCTGACAAAGAACTGTTCCAACTGCACCCAAGTTTTAGTCCCAGAGCTCAACGTGGTCAAAGCAGTGGTTTTGGGCCTGGTGCTTGGCGTATTCATTGTGTTTGGAATTGTGGGAAACATCCTGGTAATCCTCTCAGTGGTTTGCCATCGACACCTGCGGACAGTCACGCATTATTTTATAGTTAATCTTGCAGTGGCAGATTTGCTGCTGAGCTCCACTGTACTGCCCTTCTCTGCCATTTTTGAGATTGTGGATCGCTGGGTGTTTGGACGGGCCTTTTGCAATGTTTGGGCAGCTGTTGATGTGCTCTGCTGCACTGCCTCCATCATGAGCCTCTGCGTGATCTCTGTTGACCGCTACATTGGAGTCAGTTACCCTCTGCGCTACCCAACCATAGTGACAAAACGCAGGGCGCTGCTGGCAGTGATGCTGCTGTGGGTGTTGTCTATCATCATATCTATTGGACCTTTGTTTGGGTGGAAAGAGCCGGCACCTGAGGACGAGTCCATCTGCAAGATCACAGAGGAGCCTGGCTACGCTATCTTCTCTGCCGTGGGGTCTTTCTACCTTCCTCTGGCCATCATACTGGCCATGTACTGTCGGGTTTATGTGGTAGCTCACAGGGAGAGCCGGGGCCTGAGGGAGGGCCACAAGACAGAGAAGTCAGATTCAGAACGGGTCATACTCAGGATACACAGAGGCAACACAACTGTATCAGAGGACGAGGCTCTTCGCAACCGCACACATTTCGCTCTGCGACTGCTCAAGTTCTCACGTGAGAAGAAAGCTGCCAAGACCCTGGGGATTGTGGTTGGCTGCTTTGTGTTGTGCTGGTTGCCCTTTTTCCTGGCACTACCCATCGGTGAGTATTGTGTTCATCTTAAATGTGATTCTGAATTTAACATGATGTCCAAGATCTCTTTAGTAATTGTCTGGGCAAATTATGAAAGGAATCAACACAGTATAATAATTTAATCAATCAGCATATAGGAATAGTTCAGCATTTTGTTTAGTTTTACATTTTTTACACTTATTACTTATATTGTTACTTATATAATTACATCTCTTGCTGAGAGTTAGATAAGAAAATCGATACCACTCATGTATGTGTGGTAAAAAGCTACAGCACAGACAGATAGCCTGCCTGTGTCGAAAAGGGAAAAAAAAATCCACCTCCCAGCACTTCTAGAGCTTACAATTTAACATTTTATAGCTTATTTTTTCAATCCATACTAACACCAAAGAGAACATTGTGGTTTTATGGAGAGTTAAATTTTACTATCTCTAGTGAGCTTTAAGGGCAGACTTTGTTACCTTTGGACAGAGCCAAGCTGTCTCCCCTGATTTCCAGTCTGTATACTAAGCTAATAAAAAGTGGATTTAAACACTGCAGACCACTTATTGGAGAAAATCAATCGTCACTAGCGCAAAACAGGGCATCCTGCATAAGCCCACCATTTTTAAATAGCCAACTTACCATCTATAGTCAGCCTCGTCTCATAAAAATACATAAAAAGGACAGACTTGACAACGCATTACATGATGGTGGGCACAAAACATGTTAAAATTAAATGCCAATGCAAAGTCAATAAGGATCTTTTGTCATGTTGGATACACAAATTAAGTGTGAAGGGTGACAAATTCCATGTAGGGTGGCTGGGACAGGCTGGGACATAATAGACTTTGCATCGGCATTGTTTTGTGTTGCCAGCTTGTAATTTTAGCATATTTTGTGCCCACCATCACCACGTAATGCGTTGTTAAGACTTTGTGTCCATTTGTTGTATTTCTGTGAGACTGTGCAACAATAGCGATTGCAATTTTTTTATCCCTACAACCCAGATTTTTAAAGATGGCAGCCCGCAAAACTACGCTTTACGCTACGCCATTCAACTGACTAAGTGCAGACATTCCTCTAGTTGGTTGTCGATTAAAGGATTCAACAAGTGTCACAATGAAGATGATGTCATGCAGTTTCATGTGGCATCACTATGGAGATCAGCTGAGAATCAACTGAGCACTTCAGGGGTACTATGTGCAGCGAAAAGAAAGTAGAGAAAAGGACCTGGTAACAAAAGTAAGTTGAGTCTAGTTGAACCATGTGGTGGATATGAGGCATAAATTAAGCTGGCTCAAGTTACTGAACAGACACATAGTAAAGTGATGTTCTTATCCAACTCTCGGTAGCAAAGACAATTTGCATGTTTCCAACAGTGTCACTATTTCTTTAAAATTGCACAGGTCATTTGGTTGAAATTCTTAATCAATAAGAAGTTACAAATTAAAAACATACTCATACCTTTGATCATGCACACTCACACATTTGAGTCAGAGCACTTCTAGAAAGTCATTTTATTACTGCATTAATTTATTTTACCATTCCATTCATCGATTTATGCCACTGCCAGGTTTGGAAAGTGCTGGCTGATTTAATGGTTTGATGATGTTAATTGAATTGCTCCTCTGTGTGCGCACACTGAAGGTACTATCATTCAGAAGAGCCTTGTGGCCACTTGAGCAGCGTAGTAAATGCTTGACTCGGCCAGGTAGATGCTCTATAAATAGGCTCAATGAAAATTTTAGACCTCTGACAGCCTTCAGTGCTCCCCTGTCTGCAAACAAAAGCCCAGCATTTCAGACCGACATATATTTCAAACACAGATCTTTGAATGAAGTGTCAAGCTGTTTTTCACCATTTCTCTGCTTGTTCTTCTCTCTCTGTTGTATCTGTGACTCACTTCATCACAATGCCAGTCCAGGATGGACAGATAAAGTCATCGCATCTGTGTCAGACTTTATTTTATATTGCCTTGATGATTGTTCTCAAGTGTGCTTGAGGGAAATTCACACAGCTTGCCACCTGTGCATGCACTATATGTGCTGGTGTCAGTATATGGAGGGAATGAGAGAAGGAAATCCGAACCAAGTATATATAAGATATAACAAAACCCTCACAAATCCCTCAGGTCTTTTACTTATTCCATGCTCTCATGCTTGTAAATATAGCTGCCTGTTACCATTTGGCTTTTGCCTTTCCAGACTGGGAAACAAGGAAAAGCCTACGCTTACCATTGCTCTCTTACTAAGGCTGGTGTCAGACTGCATACAGCTGCCACATAAGTCTCTGGACAATGAGAGATTTATGGGTGAATCACCAAGCAATAGTCTGGTTTTGACGTGTAGAGCTGGATAAGTTATGATTGTTTGCTTTGGTTGATGATTGGAGTATTCATTATGTTGTCGTCAAAGAAAAATGAATTGTGGGAATTTGATCCTGTTGATAAAAAGATGAGTTCTTTCAGCTCTGCATGTGTTTGAGGATTGTCCTCCTCTGTCCTTGACATTTCAGAAGTCCTTCTCAGGGACTATAAGGAACTGTAAAGCAAGCCTTGCTAATTTAAAGAGTAACTTCATGGGGTGCCCCTATGGCTTTAAATGTTAAGTCATCAACCATGAACGCCAGTGTCCCTGATTCAAGTCCAGTAGAGTACCTCTGTTTCATCTCTCATTCCCTCTTCTTTCTACTATTGCTATCTAAAGCCATAAAATGTCTCCAAAATATTAAGATAAATAAATAAAGAGTGACTTAGCAGGCTTTCAGCACCCTGTGATTCAAAGGTTTAACTCTTGGTGTGGTCAGAAGTGTGCTCTAATGCACCTGTAACCCTGTAATCTCAGAAAAAAACAACTTCCAACATGGAAGAGTGCAATGGAACGGTCATTAAAGTCAGAATTCCAAATTGGAAACTCAGGCAAGATCTGCCAAGCCACAGTTTAATGTTTTATATAGTGTTTGTGTTGTGAAATGTGCTCTAACAATGTTGTAGCTGCCATTTACATACAGTTAGTTTGTGCTTGATAGAAGTGTTTGTGAGCATGCACATCTCCATCTCCTTCCACACAAAATGAATGCACACAACAACAGTATGCAACTGGCTTTGGTGGCTCACACTATCGCACACAATTCTGAGTTGTTATTAAAATGAGCAAAGATGAGCAAGACAGTTGTCTTATGTTATGTTTCTAGCCTTTTCTCTTCACTAATGGTGCTGTGGTAATTTGTGTGGGTCCTCTGTAGATGCTTGTGAGGCTCATAAACTTACCATACAAAGATCAGTTTGCTGTGGGCGTCCATGTTTTTCCGAGCAGATGCACTTGGGTGCATTTAGATTGAAAGTCTGGAATTTCGATTTGGGATTATTGACTTCCGACTTGCAATGGATTGCAGCATCACCACACTTAACAGTGATGTATGGTGTACTGACACACCCTGGAGTACACCTCTACATCACAGCAGAGGAGTGAGAAGTTACATCCCTGCGGCTCAGAAAAAGAAAGATTTTCAGTGAGTGTGAAGTTTCACTTTAAAGCTGCACTAATCAGCATTTTTATATCAATAATGGGTCATTTGTGTAATATGCAATATGATGGCCGTTTGTAGTAATGAACCCACAGATAATCATCTAACTTTCCCTTAGCTTTACTGAGCTTATTAGCATCTATCAGATCATTGTTTAGGTAAAGTCTTTCTATGCTACACTTTGAGTTTATGGAGACCAAAAACAGGGCTAAAAGAAGAGTGAATACTGGACTTCCATATTTGTCAGGTGGACAGAAACACAACTCTAAATGAATGCATTGCTCTCTGTCTGAAGGATGTGTCTGCTAACACGTTCACAACAACTTTATTAGATGAAAAAATGTCGATGTAATGTCTGCAGTTTGTTCTGCTGCTCCCACATCAATAATCTCGACCAGAATGCACCATTTAGTTGCAGTTTGGTCAAAATTGTGGATCTCAAAAGCTAATAGTCTTTTGCAGGTCATCCAACAGTTTTTTTTAAAGGGGTTTAATAAGCCAAGGTGTCATGAAAAACTGTCAGACTGACAGACTGTCAAAATAACAGCACAACAATTAGAATTACAGTTTTCACATGACAACAGCCAGTGATGTTTTATTGATTTTAGACAACAATACATTTATCGAACACTTGCAGTACCCTTCCTTTTTCTTTTAAGAAAAAAAATTAATCTCTTAAGCGTACCAGCAATAATAGAATTGTTCTTTTTGGCACAGCTGGGAATAAAATGTATGAGCCCGACAGCCAGGCACAAAATAATTTGCTCTCAAACTCTCTCCACCTCTTCTTTCTATCCATCTCTATATCACGACCTCATTTTTCAACAGCCCACGTTTAACCGTCTGCAACAGCCCATCCAATAAAGCATTTCACAAGACAGCTTCTCCCCTTCTACCCTGAAGATAGGTAGATAGATAGATAGATAGATAGATAGATAGATAGATAGAAAGCAGGAGAAGACAAGAAGAAGTCAGCCATTTAATTATTGTAATGTTTCACTGGCAGTCACTCGGTATATGAAGAGTCACGTTTACAGTGAGTAACAGTGCTGCATGTAATGTGCCTGTTAAGCCATTTTCTCTCCTTTTTCATTAAGGATCCGACTCACGCTTTCTGTCATTAATGCTTCCTCTTATCACAAGCAGCACAATTTATAACGGCAATTTAGTTTTATAAAATGCTACACCTTCATGGCAACTGGGGAGCTTTTATTTAACTGGATTAAACTGTTAGAAAAATTAAGTGGATGTAAATGAGAGCAATCTCTCTATCTCTCAGTAGCTGCAGATCCTGTGCTGATGTCATATAAACACAACATTTGAAGCAATAGATACTAGAGCAGGTAACTGGAGCTCTAAATGATTTGAGTTTTCCACTTTGGCCCAGAATGAATAATCTCAATAATTGTTGGATGTGCTGTCATCATTTTTTACAGACATTCATGGTTCTCAGAGGATGAGATGATGTGGTGTGTTATCCTCTTATACAGATTTAAGATATATCTCAAAAACTTTTGAAGGGATTGCCATGAAACTTGATACAGATATTCATGATCCCCAGAGAATGATTCTCTAACGACTCTTGCGATTCTTGTCCTCTAGTGTCAGCAGCAGGTTGTGTTAGAGGAATGTCTCAAATTCTGTAGAGACATTATATTCCCCAGAGGATAAATCCTACTTAAGCCGGACTTAAACCTGCAGCCTACACCGATGTAAGCATTTATACTTGTGTGGTGGTGTGTCTTGTGTCGCTCTGCAGTTACACCTCCAAAACACTAGTTGGCAGCGGGGATTCTGTGCTGTAAAGTTTAGTTGATTCAAAACACACATTAAACATGGCTTAATAGAGACAATTTCAAACACAAATACGCAAATTGGCTTCACTATAACTCGCAGCATTCACAGACAAACACTTATGTTAATCCGGACACATTTTCCCCACATATACAACATGCTAATACTAATAGCACAAGCCTATGGCATTTTACATTGTATAAATTAGCCTAGTGGCTAGCAGAGATGGGAACTGCCCATTGGTACGACAGCCCATTGGTTCGACATCCCATTGTTCCGACCATATTAAACTCATTGTTCCGAAGTCCGTTCCGAAATCATCATGATGCCCTGTGGTTAAGGTCTGGTTAGGTTTAGGCACAAAAACCACTTGGTTAGGGTCAGGAAAAGATCATGGTGTGGGTTAAAATGAAAAAGAAAGTGACAAACACATAAGCCATGAGCCTGCTCCGCCTCAAGCCGGTCGCGGCGCAACATACGCCCGCCGCGAGCCGTTCAGCACCGCGGACAGTCGGACTAATGGGATGTCGAACCAATGACATATATACGTAGACACCGCATCAAGTGGGTTTGCCCGCTGCTGCGATACGTCAACGTCGCCGCCATATTGGATATGGCAAGGCTGCGCTGTAAACTAATACAAGTGAATAGACTTAATTTCATAAAGCGCCTTTCTACAAAAAAATTTACGTTAATGCCTCTCGTTTATTCATTCACACACACACTAATATACCTGGGAAACAGTTAGGCACCAAAAACAATATATTTGATCTTCTCAGATGGCTAAGATAAGAACTTTATTGATCCCACACAGGAGTAATTCACCTTAGATCAGCCGAAAAACAGGCATTAACGACAGCATTAAGTCCATTCACTTGTATTAGTTTACAGCGCAGCCTTGCCACATCCAATATGGCGGCGACGTTGACGTACGGCTCAGCGCTCGATGCGGCGTCTACGTATATATGTCTATGGTCGAACCAATGACATGGACCCGCAGAGATTTCCTCTAGGCCTACTCATATAAAACCAGGGACAACAGCAATATTTAAAAAAGGTAACGTTACAATTTCAGCCCCATTACAACTCACCAGGTTCACTGACAAAACAGCTGTCTTATACTGAACACGTTTTCCAAACAAATACAACATGCTAACGTTATTAGCACAAGCCTATGGCATTTTACATGGTAAAAATTAGCCTAGCGAGGAGTGGAGATTTCCTCTGCTCATATAAAGCCAGTATAAATCCCTGAAGGATAAATCACACACAAGACTTAAAATGCTATTTTTGTGGTGGGTTTTTTTCTACACAATTTATTGTTTCTTATCTGTGAAATTAAAGTAAATAGAAGCTCCATTTCCACTGAGGGATATGGTTTCAGCTTACAAAAATAGAGAGGAGGTCTGTGTCGTAGCTATGGTGTTGATTCAGTGCAGAAGTATAAATTCCGCCTTACACTGAACAAAAATATAATTGCAACATTTGTTTTTGCTCTCATTTTCACAGGTTTAGGAGATTGAAGATCTAAGACTTTTAATGCTCTCAAAAGAATTATTTCTCTCCAATTTTGGTCACAAATTTGTTAAAATCCATGTTAGTGAGCACTTCTCCTTGTCCAAGATAATTCAGAAACCTGAGAGGTGTGGCATATCAAGATGAAGATTAATAAACAGCATCATTTCAGGTGTGCCTTTGGACGGTCACGATAAAAGGACACTCTAAAATTTGCAGTTTTATCTTGGAAAAAAAGGCATTTATAAGGATTTCACATGACTAGCGCTACAGAAGTGCATATTTGGTCACAGATACCCAAAGGAATCAGTATCTGGTTTGACCACATTTGCCTCAAGCAGTGCGGCACATCTCCTTCACATAGAGTTGATTGTGGTCTGTGAAATATTGGCTCACTCCTCTTCTCCTCCTCTTCTGTGTGAAGTTACTGGATATTGGCAGGAATTGGAACATGCTGTCCAGAGCCAGAGCATCCCAAACATGTGCAATGGGTGTCATGGCTGGTGAATATGCAAGCCATGCAAGAACTGAGATGTTTCAGGTTCCTGCTTGCAACACGGGGCCATGCATTATTATGCTGTGACATGAGATGGCGGTACAATGAATGGTATGACACTGGGTATCAGGATCTCATCTCGGTATGTTCAAACTGCCACCAACAAAATGCACCTGTGTATGTTGTGCATAGCTTATGTCAGCCCATACCATAACTACACTGTCAACATGAGGCACACTTCACAGTGCTGACATGAGGAAACCTGCTCACCCACATGACACCAAACACGCTGTCTGCCATTTGCCTGGTACAGTTTAAACCGGGATTCATCTGTAAGGAGAACACATCTCCATAGTGCCAGATGATATCAAAGGTGAGCCATTGCCCACTCAAGTGGGTTACACTGACAAACTGCTGTCTGTCAGTTTCTGATGGTTTGTGTGGAAATTTTTAAGTTGTGCAAACCATTTATTGTATCAGCTGTTCAGTTGGCTGGTCTTAGAGGATGTTGCAGGTAAAGATGCTGGATGTAGAGGTCCTGGGCCAGTGTAGCTACATCTGGTCTGCGGTTGTGAGGTCGGATGGTCGGATTTCTTATGGTGAAATTAATATTCAGTTTAAACGTTTCTGGTCCTGCAGTCAGCATGACAGTGGTACGCTCCCTCAAAAGTTGTGATATTTGTGTTATATGAAGTGCACATTTTAGAGTGCCCTTTTATTGTGACCATCCAAAGGCACACCTGTGTAGTAATGATGCTGTTTTATGATCAGCATCTTGCCAGCCACATCTGTCAGGTGGATGGTTTATCTTTAACAAGTGACCAGAATTTGGGACAAAAAAGTTTTTTGTGTGCATAGAAAAAGCTTCTCATGAAAAATGGGAGCAAAAACAAAATTGTTGAATTGTAATCAAGCTCTCTAGAGGAATGGTTCTCAACCAGGGGTCCTTCAGGAGTTCCGGGGGTCCCCAGAAAAATGGTTAATAGTTTATTTTTACATTTTAATTCACCATATATGTGAGCCCAATGTGAGTAAGAGTCATAAAAGTGACTATTCTGATTACAGGTTTCACTTCCTCCACAGTTATCCCCTTCACTGCTCTTCAGTCATATCTAACAACTAATATCTTTTCATGTGGAGGTCCCTGAAGCCAAATCTTATTAAATGGGGTCTGTGACCTGATGTGTATCAATTCAGGGGTCCTTGACACAAAAAAAGGTTGAGAACCACTGTTGTAGAGCGTGTGAGCGTGTTAATGTTGTGTGATGTTAATGTAATGTAAATCACCCTTGTGTGTCTACTGTCCCTACAGGCTCCATATTTCCTGCATACAGACCTTCGGACACTGTCTTCAAGATCACCTTCTGGCTCGGTTACTTCAACAGCTGCATCAACCCTATAATCTACCCGTGCTCCAACCAGGAGTTTAAGAAAGCTTTCCAGAGTTTACTTGGAGTTCACTGTCTGAGAAGGACTCCCAGACCACACCATCATCATCTGAGTGCGGGTCAGAGTCAAGCACAGGGTCAAGGCCAGCCCCTCACGCTGGGCTTGGACAGCAGGGGGGCTCCCTGTCGGCTCAGCCCTTCCTCCTCTATGGCCCTGTCCAGAACCCCTTCCTCCAGGGATAGCAGGGAGTGGAAGGTCTTTCCCGCTGGCCCCACAGGCAGATCTGGACCGACAGAGACAAGCAGGGATAAAGTGGCCAAAATCTGCAGTAAAAGCTTCCACCGGACCTGCTGCTGCATCCCCAGGGGTGGGACTCCCCCGCAGGAGTCAAACTGCGCCCAGCCCCCTCCCGTTGGAAACCTTCCCACCATTAAAATCCACCAACTGTCCCTGTCGGAAAAAGGAGATCCTGTATAACCACTATAATCCTTTATCCATTAGTCATGACTCCCCTTTCAAGGTCACTGATGAGAATATATTTCCCTTTGCTCTCTTGGATGAGCTGTGATGGAACGGTGGCTGCTTTGAAATTTGAAAGTCTCAGCGTTGATATCGTTGTGTGATTTTTCCTGGATGTAAGATCGTCAAAGACATATCTATATTTATCTTATGCTATATTTTACCTCTTTAATAAGGTGGCTTTTCAGCTTTCGAAACACAAACTAGGCTAATGCAGAACACAGTTTGGGAGGGGTGAAAATAAGGCAAAAGTGTATCAAGTTTTGTAAAAGTGTACAAAGAAAGAGATCCTCTGAGCACTCTCCTGAGGTGGATGGAAAGGGAAAAAAAACAATACACAATAAAGAGACCAAAAGCTTTGAAAATGTTTACATATTTTATATTACAGAAGAGCAGTTCAAATGTATAACAATGTAAGTGGGAACGTTTTACATATTGCATGATTTCACCAAATGTTTCAAACATGCTGGTCAGTGCTGGTGCTCCTGTTGTCTCCAAAGTTTGCCTAATCCTGTTCCTGTTGTCAAAATGTTGTTGGTGTACTGCTCCGTACACATAAATACCAAGGGACCTTGCATACTCTCATGTCACATTACAATAAATTTGTATGACGTATTCCTATGAAGGGATGTATAAGGGCATTTTTGGACTCTTGTTTCTTTTCGGGTGAGTCACTGAATACATAGCCCCTGAAAACGTCTAGTTCATCTATCCACATTCCCACAATTTTGTGTACCTCCGAGCGGTGCCAGATGGATGTCTTAATATACTTCTGTGGAATTTTAACTGACCTTGTGGTTGCTGACCTCAATCCTGACTGGCCCACAAGCCTCTTAAAAAATCCACCAGATTTAGCGATGTCAAGTTAACTCATACACAGTCTCAGACATTCTTCTCTCAGGCCCTTGTTTCAGTCCTTTTTTTAGTTACTATCCGCATGCAAAGTCTTTATCCCGACCTTCATAACATCTTTGCGTGGGTGCTGGGTCTTACCCGACCAAAGGTTGAAAACTTAGTGTGTTTGGTGTGAGTTCAAGACTGCAACGCGTCTCTCTGTTTACGCAAAGGCATCAAAGGGCAAGAGGACAGCCTCTGCCAACTGTATTGATTTTTCTCCTCCTTCCGTAGTACCAAGATGTACTCCCTTTGCGAGTGCGAGAGGGAAGAGATGCAGTCGCGTGTTAAGTGCAGCAGAAGTGGAGTCGACAGCTCTCCCACGGGGGAGGGACGCGGCGATGCAGCGAGAGTGCTTGTCTGTGTCCGCGTTGTCATTGACTGGCATGTCTGCGAACCTGTAAATCACACCATCTCTGTGCAGATGCCATTAGGAGAGCAAGCTACCAGCCGCAGCAATAAACTACAGATGGTGCAGATGACCTAATTCACCCCTTCCTCTATTGTCTTTTTCTATACAGAGCGGTGGCGTTATGAACAAAAACCTCAGCCTATGCTGTGTCACGTTTTATAAAGATAGGCCTATATCATCTTCCAAATGCAATAATGAATATCATAATTAAATCTGCAGCCTCGCAGGAGTCAGATATAGACCAGAACAGAGCATGAACACCCCCCATGTGCTTCACTAGTATTCATGGTTAAATTATCATTAAGTGTATAATCTACATTTCCACAGTGTTCCTTTAATATTCTGTAGACGCTGAATCACCAAGCTTACAATCATTGACTCTAAAGGGAAATAAAAAACAACCATAAATACTTCAGATCTATATAGATGTTCATGACGATATTGTAGTGATGTCAGATCAGCTCTAGACTTGTAATAGTGGTGTCTGTGTTTCAGTGAAAGAAGACAGCAAGCACTGCTGGTGACTCATGTTTGCACACTTTTCCCAGGAGGGCTTAACTGTGGAAAGTCTTCCTGATGCTTTTTGTTTTCTCTCTAAAGCTGTCATCAGCTGCAGTGGAGATGTTGACATTATAGGATTCCCCTCCTCTCTGGTTTAATCAGTGCACTCAACATGCTAAGTCCTAATTGGACAACTGTCAAACAGCCAGGGGTGTTCGCTAGTCGCAGAACTGTTGCTGATGTGTGCATCAACTGTGACGTTTTCTTGCTCAATTCATTTTGCTGGCAGTGTCCCCCGTGGATGAGGAGTCTGAGGAGCTGGAAGAACAAAGCGGTGCTCAGAAGCTGAGGCTGCAGCTGCATCACGACTCTGTGCCTCCACCTTGTGTCTCACTGCCTCACTGCAGTTACTTCATCCTCTGCTGGGATGTGGTGTGACTCAACATAATAGCTGATTCCAAATTTGAGATTAATAACACTTTATTTTATATGTCAAATAGTTTTAGGAGTTTTATATGTCTGTATCTATTAAGATAGGAACAGATTATAAGGACACTGGAGACTGGGCTCAGTCGATACACATCTAATTAATTAATTCCAATCAATTGCTTTTGTGACCAAGAGGACCATTTAATCAGGGGTGGAAGAAAGATTCGGAGCCTTTACTTAAGTGAAAGTAGCCATGCCACAATGCAAGAATACTCAATCACAAGTAAATTATTCCTGCAAAGTTTTACTGTAGAAGTGTTAGTGAAAGTATTCATGATGCAGAATAAACGCCTATATGAGCATTATATTATTAAAGATCCCAAACAAAAAAACTTTAAAGGTATGTCTGTTTGTGTTGTGATTTGTTTTTTGTTTTTTGGGTTGTTTGGGGGGGGGGTTCATAGAAAGTTAACATGTTAAAATTACATTTATTCCATACTCCCCTCACTGAAATTAACAAATGTGCATATATATATATATATATATATATATGTGTGTGTGTGTGTGTGTGTGTGTGTGTGCACTAATGGTTTAATTAAATTTTCCACATCATGCTTCCGGCTGGCCTCCAAACTAGCTGTGACGTCACAAAATCACATCTGAAACTCAGATTTTAGGTGAGCATAGAGAAACTTTAATGTGAAAACAGTCTTCTAGTGTCAAACTCTTTATGTACATGATTCTGCACAGTGAAGCTCAAATATCCAAGTAAAGTAAAGATAAGCAACATATATTACTGTGCAATGGAACTTTATATATTGTAGTGTTTGATTGTTAATGCTGATACAGTGCATCAGTGTGGAAGTATTTATTCTTGTAGCTCATTGAGGTTGAGCGAATGAGAAGTTCTGTAACAATACATCACATTTTATACAGTTATTAAATGTTTTGGTCTGTAAAATCTCAATCTGCAAGCAGACTAGTATCTACATCTGTCAACATCTGGGCGCCCCAGGATAAGCAATCAAGCCTGAATGCAACTGAACTGACATCTGGCCCATCAGAGCACAGTCTTTCAGTCTTGCGATATAAAGAAAGAATGAAAAACCCCAAAAATGGCTATCACCAAACGACCAGTTTGTGTAGTTTATGTGTAATTGATTATACATGATCTTTCATTCTCGACTGCTAAATAGCCTGGATGTTGCTATCTGAAAAATTTCAATTTGTATTTTGGTCTGAATTTGACTAATCAAATTTGAACAACCTTTTTTTTTTTAAATCTGAAACTTGAGTTTTGTGGATCTAAATTTGTGAACACTGAAAAAAAAAATCTAGTATCTTTTGAAATTGCAAATCAAGAAATTTCATATTTAAATATAAAAAGGTGAATTCAGAACAAATACATTCAGATACATGGTTTAAAGTAAAATATTTCACTACTATGAATTCAGTTCAATATTATGTATTCAGTGGCTGTTAAATGCAATTGTTTGTGTCTCTATTTTGCTTCCACAGTAGAGGAGAAGCCTAGAAGTAGTGGGAAATGGAAAATACATAAGTAAAGACTGCACTTCTATATAGTGCTTAGGTACCTGCGCTTTTTACCCCTGCTTTTAATCATTGTGCAGTGGGTCACCTTCAAGCAAAAATATAAAAATTGCCTACAGACAAGACTACACTCAGTTTTCCATTATTCATTTATAGTAAATTTTAATGGACATATTAACAAAAGCTTATTAACTTAACCTAAACCTAAATGTTTATGGACATCATCCTTATGTCCCCCATGGTAATTATGAAATTACACCTGTAGTTCTTTCCAGCAACACTTTTTATAAAATTATTTGGAAATTGTAGGATAAAGAGTTTCATTCAAATTCAGTATAATTAAAAAAAAGAGTCAATACCATAACTTTCATTTTTATTATTTTAATCCACTGAAGTCAACACAGATAGGGTCAAATGCTGACAAGACCAATGATTTCCCCCCCAAAACCCTGGTATCCTACAAAACATACATGACCGAGAGAGTATCACACTTGCTGGGAGAGGGGCAACAACAGTGCTCAACATCACAACTCAATAACCATTTATCAATAACCAAGACACTTCCCCAAATGTAAATCACTTCACATTATAGCTTGGCATACAAAACCTACACTTGACAAGGCAATGAGGAAGAAATAATCCAGTGTTTTACAGTATGGCTGCACAGTGCCGTGAGAATGACAACCCATCGTGGTTCGGTGAATACAGTTACTGCCTCGAGTGGATCTGGTGTCGACAGTGTTGGGCAGGTAGAGGGGAGCAAGAGAGGAAAAACTGGATATCTGATAATTCATTCACAACACTAACACCGAGAACAGCGGGCACATCATTAGCACACTGTGAGGGATTTCATATACATACTGAAGCGCTTTTCATCAGGTCTCAAAGATTATGGTTCCACTTCTTTCAAGAGCCTTCATAGATACAGTGTGCTATCAATATCTTACAGAACAGGCAGGCAAGTAGTTGGATTCAACAAATATCCTAAAACATACAGACATATCCAATACAAATAAAAAGTTGCAAGCTCACATACATTGTTTTTTTTACCATTTGGATTGTTACAGGTGCAAAACAAATTCTGTCGAAACTGGGATAATGGTGACAGCTGTGTGGGCGTGGACATCATCTGCACATATACAGCAATGGTCGTATAGCACCAGGTGCAGAGAGGTTGTCAGCAAACCTCCCTTTTAGCTTCTTTGTAGTGTCTGCCTGTAGCTTTTACAATTTACATCGGTCTGATTATTGGAAGCTTGTTGCCCTGACAACCTTTAAACAAACATGAGGAAAAAACAAAATGATGAAATGAGGGGAAAAGTTCATGTTTCTCAGACAAAATGTGATGTGCCAGCCATTTCTCCGACCACAATATTCAGGACGGAGTTGAATGAGTGGTTTAACGCTAAAATACCCTTTCTTTTCCTTTCAGTGCAGACAGCGCTTCCCAAAAATGACTTCAACGCGATAAAAAAAACATTCAGTTTTAAAAAAATGAAGTGCAACTACAACACAAAAGGAAGACCAAGGTGAATTGCTCTGCTGAACACAGTAAGGTTGTCAAAAGTATTGATACTTAGATACTTTTTAGACACCACGTGTTTAAAATGACACAGTCTCATTTAATTAGACATTCGATTGTATCGAAAGTAAAAAACATCACATCTACAATCAGATTTTCAACCCAAGCTGTAATTAGTATTAACATTATTATAAATGTGTTGGTATTTTTCAGTGGCTTTTTCTGTACCAGCACTGTGTCCAGGGTAATTAAAAAAACATAATAAATAACGATCCTATAGAGCGAACAACAACGATCACTTCCAGGTAGAACACTGGCAATTAAATTCAATTGCTGAGGTATGTGAAATCCACAGACTTGTTTGTTTGTGTTGTCATTTTTAGCCGCTCCAGGGGTGTCTGACGACAAGGTGAAATGGTGAAAATATTCTTAATATAGCAATCACTTCAACTGATATTGATTTTTTTAGGTGTCTAAAAACTGACCATTTGAGACAGAATTTGCCTGGAGACGTTTCATTTTATACACGTGACGCAGGGGTTTTCTATCCGGAAGTGACTGCAAATAAAACATTGCAATTCAGTCTGTACTTATTGCCCAGAACTTTTTTTTCTTTTTGTCGTGGTATCAAAAAAGCTATCAAGTATCGTTTTTTTATAAGAGAAAATTAGGTGTTATGAGATGCAGAAAGAATTCTACAGCCTAATCTTTCATGAGTGTTTGTGGCATCAATGCAACCTTTCTGTACTAAAACGTCACTCTTACAGTCTAACAGTGTTACAACATGAACAGTGGAGGCTCTACTTTCACCTGAAGGTAGTGAAGTAACATGACTAACAGCAAATTCCGACCTCTATCTGAGAAATGAAGAGCGCTTTAAGAAAAACTGTGAACAGCTGCAGTTTCTAAAATGCCCGCTCATGAAACTGATCACTTCTAGGGACTCATTTTCAAGAGGGCAACAAAACGGCTCAAATGTGTACAGCAAAAATGATACAAAAATGTAAACAAATTAAATTAATCAATAATCAAACTTAGTTTATCTGGACTTCAATTCACTTGATCCTTCCTTAACGATGGTAAATGGCAGGAAAGATGAAACAAAATGAAACAGTGCTTTCTCTTTTTTTTTTTTGCATGAAGTGAACAAGTGGTGGTGTGTGAATAAGAATGGATGGAGTGCTTGTGGGTGCAGGGGGGAGTCAGAGGTGACCAGATGTGATGTGACAACGGTAAGAGTGGCCTCTGGTCCCGTGTCGCCCTGCATCCCCCGGCTCAGGTAAAGAAAGGGCTTAGCCGAGGCTGGTGATGTTGGCTTTTCCACCAGGGGGAGCCACGATGCGTTGAGTGTTGCGACGAGGAACGTTGTCATCAATTTGGGCACCTAGAAAAAAAAAAAAAAAGACATGAAGACATACTACAATGTAAGTTAAATGCCTTAGGCCCAATCACACAGCAAGAGTTTTGCAGGTTGCAAAGCACGAGGCGTGCCGCTGCCTTTTTTTAAAAATTGAATGCCACTAAAATAAATAAATAAAATAAATTACACTTGCCATGCCTTTTTATTGTTGCCAGGCAACCACAGACTCACCTCCTTATTCTAACCTTCCCGTGTCATCAATCTACCGTTTATTTATTTATTTATTTTAGTTATTTGACAGTTATTTGTAGCTAGTTTCTAAAATGTTCAGGCAGAGGGTACTTGCTGTAGCTCTGGTTGAGGGTGAGCAAATAGTTTGCTTGGCACAAAAAAAAAAAAAAAAAAACAGCAATCTGTGTGGGTACATGAGAACCTAAAAGTGAGGGTGGATCATGGGGAGTACTAGCAGTTGGTCCAGGAGCTTTGGCTCCAGGATGGCTGTTTCCAGGCATATATTAGGATGACTTGGGGCAGTCTGACAACCTGCTGTCTATCGTCAGGCTGAATAGCTCTGTGTACCCAGCAACTGCTACCACCAGTTACTCCTCCATTGTTTACCAACTGTAAACTTGTTGTCATGACCACCACAGAAGGCCCGCCGCCTCTCAAATCATCCGATTGGACAATGGGAAAATAGATGACGAAAAAAGAGATGACGTGGGGCGTTTATTCGCTTTGAGTTCAAGTTTTTTCAACTTCAGTAGTTCAGAGCGCTCCGGCAAAGAAACGCGAAGAAACGCAAGATGCCTGGCAACACCAAAAAACGCGAGCAAAAAGCTTCATTCTTATTAAAGACAATTACGAAAAGGCCCCTCCAGCTGCTAAAATGCTTTCTGTGTGATCAGGGCCTTGTTGTCTAAAAGGCCAACTGCCAGGAATGAAATTATTTCATATTTCATATTAGGAGTGTAAGAAAATATCAATACACATGGGTATCATCATATTATGTTTTGTAATGATGTATCAATTCTCAAAAACACTACATCAATTTCTAATTGTTTTCAATTCTTTCTTCTCTTTACTTGTTTTTTTTCCCACTGTTATAGGCAAATGTTAATTCCTTTGCTCAGTTTGCACAAAAAGCAGTGCTATAATGTTGGATGTTACAGGGACAGCAATAAACACAAATGCAGATCCCACTGTTTATTAATTCTGTGGTGTGTTCTTTATACTATGACAGTCTTCCTGAAATTAGATTTTAAAAATGGCAATATATTGCTATGCTTACAGAATTGCAATATATCATCCTTTGTGTGCATTTTTATCCTAAACATGACATTTTTTATCCTGAATGTGCAATTCAATTCTATTTCCACTCTTTTTAACCATATATCATGTGTGCAATTACACTAAATGTTTCTGTACAGTATGTTTACTCAATTAATTTATTATTTTTACTCTGTGTCAGCTTCACTTACCAGACAGACTGAAGCCAGACTGGTGAAGGTTGCGCACTGGCTGGTGGGTAATCTGCTGCTGCTGCTGCTGCTGCTGCTTGGCAGGAGAAGTCTTCATTGAGGAGACGGTGGAGATCACCTTGGGAGTCACAGTCACCTCACACACCGGCCCGTCGTACTGGCCCCTGGGGACTCCTCGCAACTCTGTGAGCTAAACACACAGGCCAATTCATCAGACCACAAGCTGTGTGGTTCACCTGCTGACCTACATTGTAAGAATTTGCCTTCTCTGTGGCTGGATAAGTGCAATTACAGCTCACCCTGCTGCGGGCCTTTATCCTCTTGTAAACATGGTCAGAGAAGGGTTTACGGCTGATGTAGCGCCCACAGCCCTCCGTGGGGTGAAGGCTGCCCTCCTCCAACACAATCTTGCCCTGGCTGATCACCACCACAGGGCCTCCACGCACTTCTGTGCCCTCAAAGATGTTATACTCTACAGCCTGGGGAAAGAAGATGCATCATCAGGAGACAACTTAAACACTGCTCTGAGTTGATGGGGTGTATGTGTGGGCACATGATTAGCATAAATCATGTGGTTTTATCCCCAAGCAGTTTTGTATGACACATTTTTTGTAAATAACTATGATAAATAAAGGAGTAGACTGGTTTGAACTGATTTTCCCTTGGATATCATGTAGCAGTACATCTGAAAGTGGAACAGAGCTGCTTTAGCTATTATAGCATACAATGTGCACTGCAGCCCACCACATACAATCTTAAGGAGGAGGTCTCAACATGTCTAGGACACATCACCGACTAAAGACACTGTAGATAAGATCAAATAAAGTAACCATCTGACCAGGTTGTGGTTCTTAGCTGAGATGATCTTAGTAACGTCCGGGTCCCACAACACGAGGTCAGCATCAGATCCCACAGCGATGCGGCCCTTGCGGGGGAACAGGTTGAAGATCTTGGCTGCATTTGTGCTGGTCACCGCCACAAACTGGTTCTCATCCATCTTGCCAGTCACCTTTTAGGACAGCAAATTACATACTTACATCGAAACCTATGCAAAGGTCATTCACTACTACTAAAATATTGATTTTTTGGAATGTGTGAGAAGTAGGTCGCATCGAGCTCACCACACATTTGTCCCAGATTAAGGACATCCTCTCCTCAGTGCCATTGGTGCCCTCTGGGATTAGGGTGAAATTATCTTTGCCTATCGCACGCTGAGAAGTCTGGAAAGTGCAGTGAGCACTACCAGTCACCTGCAAGTCCCCACTGGAAAAGAAAGCAAGCAAGAAAAACTAAGGATATGTCGCCAATCACTCATGACAAACCGTGACATTTATCTTCTACATTTAATATTCTATCTTTGTATTAAGTGCATGAATGAAAAGTGCATAGCTGGGTAAAATAAAATACAGCACACAGCAGTAACACGTGTCAAGTTTTGCTGCAGCTATCTTTAGGTCCTGGAGCAGAGCCCCTACCATGACAACAGAGAGTTGAGGTAGTCGGGGGTGGTGGGATCAGGACTGAGCGGTGGAGAAGTGACATAGGCTGCTGCCTTGGCCCAGTTCTTGCTCCAGTAATGGGTACCATCAGTGCCCAAACTGGCAGATATGGGCTCTCCGTAAACCACAGCACCTACAGGAGTAGACAGGATGATGTCAGCACAAAAAAAGTTAAAGCCAGACACAGGGAAGGGTGAAAAGTAAACTTGCAAGGAAAAAATTCAAAATCCTCTTTTAACCCTTTTTCCTAGCGAGGGCGATGACATCAGCAGCACTCTTGCTCATCACCTTGGTGATGTAGAGGGGACAGTTGGTCTGATTGGCTATGGTGACAGAGCGGTTGACTGCCTCGGCCTCCACCTACAGACACAAAATCAGGTTTCTTTACCAACTCCTATAATACTTTCTAGGTCTTTAAACCTTAAAACTAGATTTACAAAACCTTTTTCTTTTGTCAACAGTTAAGAAACCACTCCTCCATTTTACCTCCTCTGGGCGGCTCAGCACATGGCCTTCAGGTCCAGAGATCCCCAGCTCTAGAATACGTTTCTGCTCCTAAAAAATATGTGCAAAAATATATTATAATCCAAGATGGCAATGACTGCTTGCAGCTCAGATGTCAGTGACTTATTTCGTTATTCTGTTACCTCTGCAATGATGTCTCCATTCTCAGCATGCACCTGTGCAATTGCTCCGAGGTCTCTGATGACACTGAACACCTCATAGATCTAAAAGAAAATGAAACAAACAGGTCAGCTTGTAGGGCAGTCGTCTACCCTGAGGACATCTAACAGCCTTTAAAAACATATGGTATGACAGACAGCTGCAGAGCCCATTGATATCAACAAGAAGCCAAGCATACCTCAGAGTCAGAAAGTTGGAAAACATCCTTATAAGCCAGATAGACCAGGAAAGAGTTGACACCTGAAGATAGAAAACTTATGAGAGAAAACAGCCAAAGGTGGAATAAAGAGAGCAAAAGAGGGAAAACCCAGAGCGAAGGAGAAAAGTAAAATCAAAAGGATAAATATTACAAAGCAGGAAAATTTAGCCACTGTTTTTTCGTCTGTGAAAAGTGGTTGGCTTTTTTGCCCTCATGCAATGTCTGAGAAACACTTCTGTATCAGTAAAAGCAGCGAGCAAGTCAGCGATTATTAGATTTAGTGTGCGTGGAGACAGAAATCAAAACATGTTGATTGCGTACCATGATCCTTCACCAGGGTCTCCATTTCTTCTTGAGTGCTTTTGTTCCACTCGGTGATGTCCACGTGCAGAGAGTAGTCGCAGCAGGACTTGCTATCAGCCCACTCCCTCCACTGTTTGAAAGCTGCAGTCAGGCTGGCGCCGGGCTCCGGCACCACGTGATCGACTGTAAAACACAAACAAACAGGTTGGATTTAATGCGCGCAAGCAAACTGCATGATTAAATCATACGCTTGACAGCATGCGCATCTGCAATGTTACAGTCCATGCAACAGTATGACTGTGCTTTAAAACTGGTTGTTAAAACATGTCTGGTATAATACACACTGATCATAGTCGTCCCCCCAGCCAGAGCCGCCTTCGTGCCCTGGTAGAAGTCATCTGCTGCCACCATGCCTCGGTCAGGCATCTGGAATCGGGTGTGCACGTCAATACCGCCAGGCATCACCATTCTCCCATGAGCCTCTATGATCTTAACTCCCCCGGGAACAATAAGGTTGTCGCCTATTTGCCTGAGGTGACAAAGACAGACAAAATACAGAAATTAATGAGGAAGACGTGATCAAACTGAGAAATGTAGACTCTAAAAATCAAGGTAATAGGTGGCCATCTGGTAGATATACTGATATATGTTTCTGTCATTCTGCCAATATGAGTTACACTATATGGCCAAAAGACAGAGGACACCTGACCGTCACACCTAAGTTTGTTGGACATCCCATTCTAAAATCAGGGGCATTAACCAAAAGTGCATTTGTGAGTTGTAAGACTGATGTTGGACAAGAAAGCCTGGTTTGCAATAGGCGTTCTTATTTCTCCCAAAGGTGTTCATTGGGGCAGAGGTAAGGGCTGTGCAAGCAGAGTTCCTCCACACCAAACTCATATAACCATGTCTTTCACGCCTCGCCTTGCGCAGGAGGGTACAGTGACCAGAACAGCAAAGGAACTTCCCCAAGCTGTTGCCACAAAGTTAGAAGCACTGAACTGGCTAAAATGTCTCAGGGTGCTTTCGGACCTAGAGTTGTCTTGCTTTGGTGTGAACCAGGGACTAATTCTGTCACAAAGTTGCATAATTACCTAGAGTTGGTTCGTGTTCCCACGGCAGCATTAACAAGCAGATCAGATAAAATGCCTTGTGTGAGAATGTTGAAGAAGAATACACTTGCAAGATAACTGCAACACTTTCTAATGTCACAATGGAGGGACAACTATGCAGGTTGATTTTATCACTGGTCATTGTGTACGATATTGCTTGCAGTGCTCATTTTAGGCAAACCATACAGTTTGAAAATGAGGCGCGGCTCCAACTAGAAAACAATGTTTTGATGCATTTGGATGCGCCGTATGTGCACATTAAGGCAGTACAGGAGGAGGCGCACATTAATAATCCTCCAGAACTGTAACATGCTCATGCTTGTTTAACCCAAACAATGGGTAATATGACTGCAATTGGTTCAGATTGAGGTCGGAACCACAAACGAATCACACCAGAGTTCATTAGCAACCGGGCCAGGACCACCTCTTCAAGAAGGTCTCGGCCCGGTTGTTTCGATGCGCACCCAAGTGCGATTGCTGTATCCACATCTACCCAAACAGACGGCACTTATAGGTGCAAACAAACTTGAGTTTCACTAAACAGAACCAAACAGGGCAGGTGTGAAAGCAACCTCAGTATCCTGTAGCTTAAGAAGAATGTTCTCTAGAACTAAATGGCCAAGCCAAAGCTATAAAAACAGCCCCAGACCATTTCTTCACAGTGAGCATTATGTATCCAGGTAGGTAGCGTTCTCCTGGCATCCGCCAAACCCAGACTTGACCAACAGACTCGAGTTGTGACAAAGATGGCATCCTTGGACAGTGCCACATTTAAAGTCATCAAGGTCTTTATTACCAATTCTAAATTCTTAATGTTCCTCTGTGGAGATTTCACATCTGTGCGCTGAAGTTTATGCATGTGTTAGCAATGGGTGTGGCTAAAACACCTGAACTCCATAATAAGGAAGTGTTCTGGCCATATAATGTAGGTGTGGCCCACTTTTTTTTATAAATTAAATATAAATTAGTTATTCTTCAAATCGAACTTACTTGATGACGCCATCCTCCATGTAGATATCAGCCAAGAATGACTGATCATCGTTCACTATCTTTGCTCCTTTGATGAGGAGACGGTCACTCTGAAAAGAGGAGACAGAATGTTACATTACCATTAAACTACACATTGATCCAGCTGCCTGCTGAGCAGAGTGCGAAAAACCATCTCTGTTAATCCCTTGTTGCTAATCATCTATCCCATAATCCAACAGTAAATTTGGCTAATTTCAAAGAAGCTTACATTTTTCTTAGAGCAACAAAGAACCTTGGGCTGATTTTAGTGATTTATTTAGGTCAATGTACTTCCTGGTTTGTTCAGAGATCTCCTGTGAAGCCCATGACAAATGTAATCCAACATTTATTCACACATAATAATAGACATATCATGTGAAGAGAGGGAGCAAGTGTTGATCAAACCCCTTGAGTAAGAGTGCAAACCCTTGATTGGCACAATTAACTCAACCTGTATGAGATGAAAGAAGAGCACAATAGGCTGGCCTACTTCCTACGGGCTGCCCAGGGTCTCTGAGGACAGTCGGGAGAGCTAATGAAGACAAAAGTGGTTTACTGCAGCCCTCACATCAGGAGCATTCAGTTTCCAATGTCCACAGTGGGTGTACGCTGACAGCAGGGATGCATTAGGTACAAGTCATGGCTGTACTGACATGAGGCCATTACTCTAGTTTAAGTTGGTCATATAACCTATGTCCTCTCTGTGCACTGAGACTGCCATATGTCTGAAAATGGCTTTCACTGTACATTGCTGTAGTCCTCAACTCCCTATATGAATGCATCATTATGAAAATATATAATTAATCATATATGTACTTCTCTGCTGTGAAACGGACCTTCATGATTTATACTGTGACGTACAGTTATAAAACTGAATTGATTACTGAGAACTGAATGTACTTATTAAAGGGCTCAGTGTCAAGCAGCGTAGGCTATACTATAAATGGAAGTAGGAACTGTTTCTCACATAGAAAGGTGTTTCTGTATTTAGCCTCACGTCATTGATATAAGCAGGGTGGCCAAAATAATACAAACGCCTAGGACTTTAATGTCACAATTATGCTGACAAAAATAACTGCGAATAACCATATTATACCGATAATCATCAAAATATGCTTAAAAATGGCACTGAAATATACTGGAATCACTTTAGCTGACATTTTGTTACAAAACAATCAGAGATAGGACACACTTTTTAGTGAACATCCTTTTTTCGTGGAAACAATCAATCAATCTTAAAAAAACAGGCTTTTCAAATATTTGAAATGGCATCATATCTGTCGATTTGAATATCTCTTTATTTTATTGTTGGTTGCCCAGCAGTCTGCTGGACACAATATTCATGATTATCTTGATAAGGGAAATTCACTGCAATCAAATTGTGTTTTTTTATTGTGATCCACAATAAAATCATATCCTGTCCCATCCCTAAACACCTGTCAGTATGATGTAATTCAGTTCAGTGGCACCACAAATTACATCCTCCAAAATGAAAATACAAATGTAATAAAATTTCTTTAAAACCGTTTCACCAAAAACTGAACATTACAAACATTGTGATTTATTGCAGGACTATTATTATCAGACTGAATTGGTAAGATGTATCTAATAAACTGGTAACTGAGTGAATGTTACAGCTGAAGTGAGCCGAGGCAAGAGGCATGAATCAGCATGAATAAAACATTAGTTCCAAGTTGTAAAGCATTACTCTCATTGGTTATTTCACATGATACAACAAAAGCTTAACAAGCAAGCAGCAAACAAATTAAAGTCACGATGAATATAATATATAATATTATAATGCATATATATAATGCAATATATAATATATATAACTATTGCATCAATGTTAAACATTTTGTTTAAATGTTCGATAAAACATCAAATGTCAGTGAATGAATGTCTTATTTACCAAATAAACTGAAAAAGGATAAGTGACAACCTGAGAAGTGTGCTCATTATGACAGTTGTTTTATCTGAATAAAAAATTAATCAATGGTCAAAACTGTCGCTATGTTTCTGTCATTCTGCAAACCAACAATTTAACTGTGCAGTGGTAATATGGTGGCACTAGATCCCACTGTATCACTGTTGTTCAGGGACAAAGCCTAATTTTGGTGTTTTCTTTTAAAGCTCTGTAGATTTAAACTACGTGCTTCACTCCAAAGCAATAAGTGGTGTCAGACTCTGTGTGTGTCGGTGGGCCTGGGGGGCTGCTGTAGAGTTACTGCTGTGTGTTGTGTCTGGGATGTCACCGCTGAATGACTCCGGTTTGTGTTGCTCTCAGTATACATGCACAGAAACAGACAGACAGAAAAGGACAACAAAGGTTAACACAACACCATTAATCAGAGCCTGACCCAGCACATTTCACAAGACAGTGTGACGCTATTAAATGATCAAACTTGGAGCAGTTGCTGTCTATATGCTTCAGCACTCTGGCTCCAACAGCTGCATGATGAAAGCTTAGGGAAAAAGGGTTTGGATGGGTGCTGTCCAATGACCTACTTTACAAAAGAGGTTTTGCTTCTTTTAACTGTCACGGCATCCTTACTGTAGGCCCTTAATACTGTGCTTTCTGACTGAAAGACTGCAGCACAAAGCAGGTGTACATATATACTGTTAAATCCCAATTTAAACAGTGTATCACAAAGTCAAGAATATGTGTCCCAGCTGCAGCAGCATTGGATTGTTTTGCAAAAATCTAGTTCTCTACAAAAGAGGATGCAGGATGGAGGATGAAAGATGAGGTGGTGACAGGGAAGGAACCTGCGCCTAAACCTGTTAACTACACCCTGTATGCTGGGGATGCTGACAGGGAGGCTGAGGTGGGGAGCTAGCTACTTAATGGCAGCTAAACGAGCACAGAAACATGAGGACCTGCAAAAGAGCTTGCTGCAAACCCACTGGCTGGTTATCATTGTTCATCCCAGGCTGTATGTGTATGCAGCTGAAGCAGGGCTGCTGCTGGTGACAGCGTCAGTGCAAATGAATGGACACGACAGCTAAGCGTTGGCTAGCATTTGGTCTAATCCTGAGGCTCACCGCATGCTATAAAAAAAAAGAGAGAGACACTACAGTCGATGCATAAATGTCATATTTTTAAAGTAATGAGCCAATACTTACTGTAATTCGTGGAATGTTCTTCTTTCCTTGGTAACCCGACATTTTAAAGATCCCTCTGTCCCCTGCCTCTTGGCTAACGCTAGCTAGCTAGTCTGAACACCTCAGCTGCCAATGAAAGGATGAATGGATGCTCTGCTTGTTGGCCAGTCGACGCCCTGGGCGATCTGCGCCTATCTGACAATATCTGTAGATAGTAAGAGAGGTTTGCTCAGTGCAGCCTGACAAAGGATGGTAAATGAGTGGTTGTATCTTTGCCTAACAGTCCTATCCTTGGATTTACTGCTAGAAGAGGTCCCTGAAGACCAGGCAAGCACCAAGAAGAGAAGGGCCACAAAGAGGTACCGCGCATGCGCACTGCCCCGCCCTGCTCCGCTGTAGCTCCATGTTTCTTTGATGAGTTATCAGCAGTTTGGGGGAAACAGGTTAAGCATCACCTGTGTAATTGACAGTGTCTGTCCAGCGTGCACGGAGCTGGGACCCAAATAGTGATAGAATAATTACAATAGATAATAATTTAATGTCTAAACCTTAAAAAACATTATTTCTCAATTTTATCAGTGGTTAAATAACTTTGCAATTAATAAACTGGATAATTTGTGTCATATTAGGGGACATTTTTACAGGAAGTAGTCACATAACATGTTTTTTTTTTTTTGCCCAGGGCACACAATTTGTCTAATACCTTACATTAGTAGTTGTTTCTGACATGCAGAATAAATTCAAGGCTTTATTTTTTCTAGAACTGACAACTGTAAATCACTCTTTTTACCTGTCTTCACAATAAACGCACTAACACCTTCAGATTGTACAAAATGCAGCAGTGAGGAGGTGAACTGGTTCATACAAGAGATCACATATCCCCCATTTTAGTGACTCTGCATTGGCTTCCTCTCAACTTCACTCATTACTTTTAAAGCATTACATGGCCCAACACCAGCATACATCTGTGCACTGTTATGCCCCTATATACCTGCATGCAATCTCAGATCACACAACAGAAATCTATTTGCAGTCCCTCTATCTAGACTTGCAACCAAAAGAGACTGCTTTTCAGGGCCCCAACACGCTGGACCAGTATCCCTGGTGAAATTCATCATGCAACCTCACTGACCTCTTTAAAATCACTATTAAAATCTCATTTTTATAAACTCACTTGTCTGTAACTTTGTGTGATATGGTTTATTGTTGTTGTTCTGTCTTCTTTTGGTGGGGATGGAGATGTACCATTTTGTATAATTTGTGAGACACTTTGTGAAAGTGTTTTAAAAGGTGCTATATAACTTCTTATAACATATATACTTTTAATTACTCTGTGTATAGTTGGGAAGAGTTAAAACAGTATATAGCCTACCAGTGATACACTTTAATATTATGTTTCAAGTATGATAACAATCAGACTCCTGGGTCCTTGCTACTTACACTGATGGAATATAATTTGACATATTACTTGACATTAACCAGGGACCTGCTGTGCCCATAAACAAGCAGCATTTGGTCTGTCAGGTTGAAAAAACAGTGGCAGCAATACTGTACGTGCAATCAAAAGGTCAAATCTGATGTCTCTGATAGAACACAATGGACTAGACTAAAATGTGCCAGCCAGAGGCATCCAAGTATGCAAATAATAGGAGTATAAGCAACTAAAAACTGCATCACATCAATTTCATGTTGCCCCCTCATCTCTTCATTATTTCTATTAATAATGAAGAACGTACCATGACCAAATATCATAGGGAAAAGATGCTTTGTAGAGGTACCACTGCATCTGCTGCAAGGTCATTTAGCAAGGAGAACAGCATTAATGTTTACATGTCACACTTTTACGAGCACAGACCTTTTACCCATGGGTAGATGCTCGCTTCCCTCTGCCCAGTGATAAAATTAGTGGGTGTAGTTCAGTAGAAATAAAATAGTTCCTGTATGAAACTGCTCATGACAAAGTCTGTAGATTATTTTGAGGGACCAGGTCATGATTTCTGGAAAGAGCATTGCTGTTGAGTTTATGTATTTTTGGTGCTTTGAGCAACACAAGCTATTTAGTTCCATTATATTTAAGAGAAGGGAAGACATGTTTACGTTTGATATCTCCAACACTCTGCAACTCACATCATAACAATGTAGATTGATAAATAGCACTACAGGTAGGAAGAAAAATGTGTATTTTTGTTTTTAGGGTGAACTATCCCTTTAACCCCAGTCAGAGGCCCACTGTGGATGTAGCCCTACTGGGCAGCTTCCACATGTGTATAACTGACGAGTGTGAACATGAAATAAGAGCACTGGCTCAACCAACCTTTCCTGAATTTAAAACAGGTTACATATGGATGCAGATATTTTTAAGATTTAGCTACTAACACAAATACATAATGTAGAAATATTTTGGATTGATTGTGAGATAGATATAGGAGTGGTAACACCTGAATTAGCCAGGCAGGAGAAAGTGAGGGCCGAGGCTCTGTGTGATTGATCCTATTTTGAAACTTACCTAAACATGCAGCAATCACACACATTTTATTCTGTGCTATTTCTTTGTGAATCAAGCTTACAAAATGTACATTAATTAAACAGTTGTTTCATCCTCTGTATACAGGTCCATTCACATGTCATAATGCTCATCAGCTGCAGGAGCCCAGAGTGATGATATGCCATTTTATTAGTTATTATGACTTTAATAATGCATTAAGGTCTACAGAGCTCTATCCACTCTCTTGGTATTCATATCTCAGTCACTGTATACAGTACAAACTTTATTCAAATTCCAAAATGTTCTGTATTGCACACTGATTAACTGTACACAAGCCTGTTATGACGACATGTACAGTTTATGAGTTAGTATGAGTCATTTACTGCATTAAAGCCTAAATGCATGTTGAGTGCTTTCAAACCAATACTGCCAACACTGTACATTATGGTGAATGATTTTTTCACGATTCTATAATGTCATCCATTTACAAACAACTGACAGAAGAATCATCCAGTCATCCAGTCAGCATCAATATACAGAAGTCACATGCTTTTCTTCAGGAAATGCTCCTCTAGTTTTTTCTGGAGGTTCTACACACGCTGTACACTGTTTATTGTATCTTATAATGTGAAATGATTGCACAGTGTAATCTACATTGAAGTCAGATAACACTCTTAAATGAGGCCCCTGGAGATACCTTCCTCTGTGGTGGCTTCTGCCACCAACGCATCAGCAATTAAACGACAGCAAAAACACATTACGCACACTGCCACGACGCTATGTAACAACAATGATATAATATGCATTAATATCAATGTATAAACAAAGTATACAATGTCAAAAGGTGTCTATTACATGGGGCAGATCACAGCTTAAATTATTTTTTCACATCTACATTTTTAAATACCTAAACATGTCAGAAAAAAAAACAGTCTAAGATAAATCACCGATGTGCAGTGGTGAAAGATACAAATTTGGCACTTTGCCATTGCTGCTATATTATGTTAAAAAAGAAGATATGTAGGCAAAAGGAAAATAAAAATAGCATATGGCCTGGTAAATTGCCATCCGCCCTAAGTTTCACTATCATAAACTCAAACAACCCCACTGTAAAATTTTGGAGCTACATATCAATGTTTAAGCTTTCCAACCTTCAAAAAACAAAGCTTTTAAAAGAAAGCTTCAGGAGTCAACATGATACAATTTCTATTCTCAAAAAAGTGTGGCATTTAAAAACATATCCCACTGTGCAGCATTTTTCTCCTCCCCCCTAATAACTGCAACTTGAATGTTAAGCTCAAAAAGTTAAGGCGATAAGAGTCCCCTCTGTTCCCGGAGCCAATTCGGTTTGTTTGTATTGCAGATATGGCGCATATTTTTGGTTCATACACTCTGCCAGCTGGAACACCAGTGCAGAGATGCAGCTTGGGAGAAGGCCAGATTTCTCATGACATAACATCAAAACACATAGAGAAAACTTCAACCCTGAAGCCACCTGACGTCAAATCCTCACCACATATTTTTTGAGTTGAACAGGATGACTAATATTTTGCAGCTCTAACAGGGTCAGTCATATACTGGATTCAAGTCGGTGGCAGCTGCTGGGTACAACGTTGCCCCTGTGTCAAAATGTGATGGAATGCAACCACATTACGTCATGTGTATAACTCTATAACTACATCTACAATGTGACAGAATTTAATGCTGATTGGAAGGGAAATGTGGGCGTACGATAGATGCAGAGAGACAGCTTGACTACAGGAGGATGGTTGAGAGACTTGGAGACAGGAGAACATCCAGGCACTGCTTCGTCTTCTATTCAGTAAGAGCTGGTGGAGGCTGTGGCAATTCTCTTCCCAATATACACCCTGAAAATAAGCCAATTTTAAGAAAATGAAGGTCTACATTTTTATTAACATCTGAGCCAGCTCTCTACTTTGAATGCAAAAGGCAATCTCAATGAACAGTAACAACTGCAGGTGACAGTAGCTTCTCCTGTAAGGCAGGTTTAATTTTACTACATTTCAGCAATATGGCAATTTTAAATGCTCTACGTAAAACACCAAAAACATTGCAACAAAAGTGCAGAAGAAACACAGTATAAAAGGACATTTAAATACAACTAAAGGCAGTAATTAAACAGAAGGAGAATAGAAAATTTTAAACAAGCTAACATAGAATAAGACAGGTATAAAAAGAAGAATAAAAGTTACACTGCAGAGTAACAGATAAATAAAACACGGAAAAGTCTTCAGCCTTGATGAACACTGGTTCCTAACCTTTTTCCTCAAAGGGCCACTTTTCTAACATTGACTAAACTGACAACCCCTGACTAAGTGACATGTTGTATGGATATTTCATATAATATTAAATGAATAATAACAGTAAAAAACAACTGATAAACCATTCGATTAACCCAAATAGTGAATGCAATAACTGAATGAAGTTTGGAACAATTTTGAGCAGATTAAATCCTGTGAATATTACATCAGAGATAAGTTTTCCTGATATTTTAGCAACTTTTGTATGGTTTTCTATGTTTTTTTATTATTATCTTTAACAATCATAAATACTTAATAGACTTCTTTTTGATACATTCAAAGTTTTCTTCTCCCTGATGATTTGCTGTTGTTTTATTAGCTTGTTGGTTGTTTTATCTCCATACTAATGCAGGGTGAGGCTGTCCTCATCGTGCCCTTATCCTGTGATCCTGTGACATGATGTGTCCAGTTCTTTTAATTAATACCTTGAATAATAATCTAAACTTTAAAAATAAGAATTTCATGTAGTTTTCTTCACAGAAATGAATGAAATGCTGAGATACAGGCCTACAATTCGCCACACACCAATACCGACATATACCGCATGCCCCGGTGGAATTCAGGAGTCTATAAATATATG